CCTCAAGTGCTTCCTGGATTGTGAAGCCATTCAAACCATTCATTTGGTGTTGGTTACGCTTCTGCTTATTCTTTCGTCTCTCAATGGCCTGGTGAAGTTGAAGGTTTTCATGTTCAAGAAGAATAGCACGGTTCAAGGCTATCTCTGCACCTTTACAGATGTAAGATATTGCTGTCTGTATTGGTGAGGTAGGAGGGTTTGTTTGAAGTAATTGAGAGATCACCGACTCATGCTTTTTGAATTGATTCAAATTTATCGGTGTTTTGGTAATCGTAGATGTAGTGCCTTGACTGCTGGGACGGCTGTCTTCCTTGTAAAAGATGAGGCTATCCAGAACCTGGTTAGGATTAAAAGGGACTAATCCTGAGGCTCTAAAAGCACTCTGTATATTCATCTTCTTGAAGGCTTGGGCGTGGGCTTCTGGGTAGACGTCAAGAAAGTCAACCTTATCAATATGGTGATATCCTGTTCGTACAAGCCGTTCAATGAGGTTACTGTAAGCTCGTTTCAATGGTGAGAAACAGGCCACATCCAAAGGTTGACAGAGATGTGAGGAATTTGCAGGCATGCAAATAGGAATAATATCATTTTGACGACATATATCATCAAATTGAGGTGTTAAATGAGAGTCATGCCCATCAAGAACTAAGAGGCTATATTGGCCAGTTCTTCGGTCCTTAATATAAGGAATAAAGTGTTCTTTGAGCCAGTGTTCACCAATTTCTCGTGTTGTCCATCCATTTGATGATATAGCAATTCTCCATGAAGCTGGAGTATTACCTTCATACCAGGCCTGAATATGAGTCTTTGCTTTCAACACTAAGTATGCTGGTAATGCCCATCCGGAGGCGTTGATACACTCAATTGAAGTTATCCATTCTCGATTTCCCGGTTGTATAAGAAAGGGCCTTCCTTCACAGGATGATCGTGTGATTACCTTCGCGGTAGCCACCAGGCCCATAGCAAAGCCGGTTTCATCAAAATTATAGATATCTTCATTGGCGATACCATAAGTTAATATAGCGGCTTGCACGCGTTTGAACCAGGCTTGAAGAACTTCAGGATCCTCGCATTTCGCCCGTTTATAATTGATTTGACGACTAAACCGACTTTTCAAGGAATCATGGCGGGAAATGAAGTTATATACCCATTTCTCTCCCACTGAGGAAGTTGTATCTTGACCACGTTGTTGGATCAATATTGTAGCCATTTCACGGACCTGGAAGTGCCTTGGCGGTGCACCACGTTGATCTAATGAGAGAATCCATTTAATAAGTGATTCTTCCTCTATAGGAGTCAACTTATGGGAATTGGCGCGGGTTTCCTTGCGAAATTTGATTCCATTCAAACGATCTTGAAGTGTTGACCGGGGAACTTCAAAGACACGAGCAGCTTCACGAACTGATTTGATTTGGCCATTCTGAATAGCCTTAACTGCTAAGGAGATCCTCCCCTCTCATTCCACCAAGGATTTTGATGATTTGGGCATTTTTCGTGGTGATATGGATGGCTGAATAGCCTTGGTTTCAAAGGGGTGGTGATTCTTGATGGGGGTGGCCGACTCGCTTACGTGGCCGACTCGCTTACCGAATACGTTACTCCGTATTAGTAAGTTGTGTCTTGGCTCGCCGAATTTTGTCGTTTGATTCGCTGTAACCAGAGTCCAGGGGCAGAGGTAATGAAAGGATCAAGACCCGCGTTGTCTTCGACGATCCCCACTCTATTGAGTATTTAATCGACTATGCCAGGGTCCCCTCATCGCATGAACAATTGTGCGTCTCGACTAGTTCCATGATAGTTTAATAATACAGGAGGCCATCAGCGGAAGAGATAGAGAGCGATGGAAGAAGAAACCAGGAGTGAGAAAGCAGTCTAGTGGCGTAGATAGTGGAGTTGAAATCCTCGAAAGGTGTCGATGGGTCATGATGGAGCTCGCTAAGGTAAGGTGGTCATATGAACATTCCGGCCTTTCCCCGATTAAGCCTCACCACCCGCGTGCCCACCTGGTCCAATCCCTTAAGATGCAGGCATCATGTCACACCGGGGACGAATTCTCGCCAGATTTTGGACTTCAAACAATGGGACCTCTGTTGGAACCTGTCAAGCTATATGCAGCAGCGTCGGCCAGGACGCCCTACAATTGACGCAGCGACAATGTCCTCGCTGGTGATTCTAGGTTCTGGTGCTCAAGACGCAATGTACTGTTTGCCAAAAGCGCCTTTGTCAGCGGAAAGACGATCTACTACTTGACAACAAAGACATTTGTGGAAGTTCCATTTTGGACCCTGGCCTGCAAGACTACCTTGAACGGCTCATTGCTTTGAGCTTCGTCGAGGTCTGGCGATGGTTCTTGCGGCTCGTCAATGACCTTCATAGCAACAAAGTGCCAACCTGGCTTCGGTAGGCTGTCCATCGTCGCGAGAAGCTTGAGCGTTTGTTGAACGTTCCATATTCCCTCCCGCGGCCCGCGGTAACCTGCCAACCAGTGTTTGATCCAGTTGCGCAGTCCCGGGTTCGTCGACCACCGGTAGGCTCCGACAACCGAGGGAAGCATGCCGTAGCTGTGCGTAAAAGACTCGCCGAACCGCGTGGGCGGTATCCCTGCTGCAATCCGACATATGGTGAGTGCGGTCCGCTCCGCATCAGGAGGAACTATTCGTCCTGAATCTGGAAGGTATCGCGTACGCGCCCGCATGCTCGTGCAGAGATACGCCGCGTAATTGACGGCTGAAGTGCAAGGGTCTCTGGCTTTGGGGAAAACGAGCGCAGATACACGGACCAAAGATGTATGATCAGAAGAAGATATCGTCAGATAAGCTCCGCTAATGTCATCATCCACGGGCACTTCGTCGATCGGTACGTCCGTTCGCCATTTATCCAGCTTGCAAAGAAGCTCGGAACTTTTGCTAGACCAGAAAGTATCGAGCTCGGGCTCCTGACGTTTCTGGATCTCCAATGCTGTTACCTCTTCTACCAACAGCAACATCCTGTCCCGTAGTTGCGACGATTGCTTCAAAAGCAGATCTAGCCATCGTGACAATTTCGGGGGCATAGTTTCCGGCGAGGTAACTGAGTAGTCTTTGTTATATAAGCGCAGCAAAAGTGCCATTCTCGCAAAAGACCTGATCAACAGCATTCCTGCCGGAGTCTGCCTAAGCTGTTTGTATCCGGTATTAAGGCATAATGCGGCACCCTGCATGTGTGAGCGCCATGCAAGCAAGGCGCCTCGCTGAAGCTCAAAATTTGCAAGCAACATGGTTGTGGCGAACAATGAAAGAATTCTATCATAATTCCACGATTGAACCGCAATGTCGGCCGCGCTGCTCAAGGATAACTCGGCATTCAAGCCCTGAATGGCCTTGAGACTATGATGAAAGGCATGACGGCGTAGATTGATCGAGCCTCTCGAATATGGCTCGAAACTCGACATTGTGAGAGCTGCTAGGGCCATGGCGGCGTTATAGACGTGGTGGGACATGGCTTGTGATTTGAGAATCTCTGGTAGAGGCAAGACTTTTGAAAGACCCGATAGATGACCGTTGGCAGAGTACTCATAATACGTGTAATCCTCTGGGAACTCGAACGCTCCAAGAAGGGAGAGAGATGAATTGTACAGGATACGGCGGGGTGAGAGCCCGGTTCCTGCGGACATTGGCGAGTATGGCGTCAAGTAGCCGTCGTGCATCACCATCAATGAATCCGAGGCTGTATCAAGGACATCGGGCCATGCAGGCGTTGAATGCCGTTGGTCTGGTTTTATCTCAGAGTATATTTCAGGATCAGAATCGGTCGGAGTGTCCGCATCTCGTCGAAAAGTTGTTTTTGTATCTTCCTGCTTCAGTTCCGCAGGAGAACATGATTCTGTATACTCCGACGACGGGGGAGAAGGTGGTCCTCTTAGGCCGATCGGTTTCCGGCCGCTGGAACTGGGCAATGTGCTGTTTGCCTCGTCATCTTCTTCATCCTTAGAGCTCGATGACCGCCCTTTCTTCCCTACAGGCCTGCCTGTCACTCTTGCAACGACGAGCTTCGTCTGGTCCTTGAAAGTAATCCTCTGAGCATATCCTTCGCACGGAAGGTTGATACGTCTGCACTGATAGGGTCGTCAGCATGTGGAAATGGACAGGCAGAAAGCCAACAATCCGAATGACGTTCGCACATTGTTACACCCCGGTTTCGTCTCATCGCACTTGAGTCTCCTGCGTCGGCACGTTAGGCAACCGGTTCGACCACGCGAGACGACATTGCGCTTTCTGACAGGTTTATCTTGCGAAGCGGCAAGGGGCATCGTAGCAACAATGAAACGGACGAGGTAGTATGGAACAGATCGCCTTTGAACTGGAGAGTACAATACTATTTAGACTGAAGTCCTGTGGACAGAGGGGGATCTGCTTCTGTGACTTGTGACTTGAAATGGTGATGCAACAAGCTGATGCTTATACAAACTCAGGCTCGTCTCTCTTGAGACATCGAAATCGTTCGAGCTATGTCAAGCTATGTCAACTAAACGCCTAGTCGAGTCTATCGGAAGGACGGCAAACACCTTAGGCGCAAGGGATCGACAGACTAGCGAACGATCCACGCTGCAGTCACCAGATAGGCCCCCAGATGCCAGTGGCCACGCTAAGCAGGCTGGGATGAACACCGACGGGAGGAATGTGACAAGTTCAAACTCAGTAAGTTTGTTGCCTCTTTTCTTTGTTTTACCCCCGTAAAAGAATAAGCGAGGGCAAACACAGTGATCGTTTGCTCCCTAATCTAGACTTTAAGTTCCAGCACTCAAGAATTTCGGTGGCTTGAACGTCTGTATTCAGGAGTCAAGGCCCAAATGTTTCTGCTTACTGTGGTACGCCGGAGGTAGCACCGCGCCATGCAAAATTCTTGTCTTACACTCTGACTTGCTTTCTTTCCTTTCTTTTTTCCTTGCTTTTGGAGGAGTGGCATAACCTGCAGATGCCCCAAGGGGCTCATGTCTTGGATGTATCAACGCAAATGATACCTTATGATTGGCGATTGTCGCTGAGATTGCCACTAACCACAGCATCCGTGCCACACTGCTGCAGATACAATGCTTTGAAAACATTTTCCCCTCCGAGAAGTTGACGAGGGTTTCCGGCCTCCAGCACTTGGCCGTCGCCCATTACGAGGACTTGGTCAAAATCGATAATGCTGTGTAACCTGTGTGATATGGCTATGACCGTACATTCGCTGAAGCGGTCCCGAAGGACAGCCATGATACGGTCTTCGCTTGCTTTGTCCAAGCTAGCGGTCCCCTCATCAATGATGAGAATTTTGTGTTTGCTCACCATAGCTCGTGCGAGGGTAATGAGCTGTCTCTCGCCTTGTGAGAAATTTCTCCCATTAAGTTCGACTGTGTCATCCAGCTTCCATTTCCTTGCACCCGCCACGTCATCCAGGATGGACTGCAGGTATCCCTCGTCATATTCTCCGTTGAAGTCCAGATTGAAACGTATTGTTCCATCAAGCAGTGTGGGATCTTGAGGGATAAAACTTATGCTCTGTCGTAGCTTTTCAACGGGAACCGCTTCAATGTCAACGCCATCAATGGATATGGATCCACGCGTCCTCGTCGTCAGCCGTAGCAGACTCAGTGCCAGTGAAGTCTTTCCGCTCCCTGTTCGACCGACAATAGCTGTTCGTTGGCCGGCATTCGCTCTGTAGTTGACACCCTTGAGAACCTCCTCCTCATCCAATGCATAGCTGGCTCCGAAGTTCTCAATGGATATCAATCCCCGTGTTGGCCAATGTTCTCCTGCACAGGCATCAAGATTAGGGGAAGAAACCTCTTGTGGGAGTTCCTGGATATAGTTCTCGATACGACGGTAACTGGCCATTTCCACTTCCAGAAGACTCGAGAGATAAACCAGATCTAGATGGTTAGTAACACGACCACTAACAGCCAGTCAGAAAGAACCTACAAAGTAGAGCCGTGCAGAGGCCGGTTGTGAGGGTCAAACTAAGACCAACAACAGGTGCACTTGAATGCGGCCGCAAGATGGCTAATGTTGCCGCCGAGCATGATATCAAAGCGACGAAAATGTCCATCCGTACTGCCAGCCACCTCTGAAGGTCACTGACGGCATTCCATGCCAGGACGTGGTGCTCAACTGCCGCGTTGAAGCGCTTCTGTAGCATTCCCTGGGCCCGAAATGCGTGTATTGTCTTGAGGCCCGACGCGGTTTCCGCAATACTGTGATGCAGAGGCGTGAGACTAGCGGCGTATAGATGCTTCACGGCGGTGGCTGCAAAACGGTACCGGTAGCCGACGTAGATTGCAAACCCGCACAGCACGACAGAGGGCAGAAAGAAGAGTGGTATAAGCGACGTCACCGTGAGAATTCGGAGGCCAATTGACAGATATGTCTCCAAAACTGGACGAAAAGTCCTGAACAGAGTGTCGTCTAAGCTTGCGATATCAGACGAGAAACGATTGATTACCTGTCCCTCTGGGGTACTCCAGATCCAGGTGTAAGTGGTGCCGAAGATTGCGGAAATCATTTCCATATGCTTGTCATGACTAGATCGCCAAGCACCCGAGTATAGCAACAACAGCGAGACTGCCAAGATCGCTACTTGCGCTGAACCGAATCCTGCTCTTGTGGTCAGCATTTGCCGTCTGACGCGATCAGAAGGGGATGTCATACCTGTATAAATTCCTAGGTAAAAACCATCCCTACCTTCCTCATCGTTTCTCACTGATACAGCACTCCAAATCGAGAGCCATGCTGGGAGTCCGATCTCCAAGGCTTGAGCTCCTACGGCGGAAATCACTGCTAAAGTGACGAATGGCCGACTGCCAAAGGACCGGAGGTATTTGAAGCCTGGAAGGGTTAATACCTGGAAATGGACAATATTGCTAAACTTACCATATCTCAAACTGCTCACGCGGTGAAAATCAGCACCTTCATTAGAGGCCTCCGCAGAGACCGGGCTCATCTCATCTCTGCCACCGGTGCTTTCAGAGGTTGCAGACACTATTTCAGAGGCTTCTGGCGTATCATGGAACGAAAGATCGACGTAATCACTGTCGGGCACGTCTTGTGTGCTTTCGGTGCTGAGATTCTTCTTAATTTGCGCGATTCTGCCATTCTCCACGTGAATGACTAGATCAGCCATCTGGAGTATTCTCTGACTATTCGTAACCATTATCATTGTGCGATTCCGCTGCTCCGATCTGAAGATGCATTTCGTCACAACCCACTCGAAGGTGCTTGGATCTAACCCCGAAAGGATATCATCCAATATGACGAGATTTGCGTTCGTATACATTGCTCGGGCAAGGGACACCCGCTGACGCTGACCCCCAGAGAGACTGTGGCCACCTTCACCTACCTCTTTGAGGTCGCCGTCCTTGGAAGTTGCAAGATCTTTCTCTAGCGCGCAATCTCTAATGACCCGCTCGTAGCGCTTTTGATCATATGCAGTCCCGAATACAATGTTGTCCCTGATACTGCCTCGGAAGAGCCAAGCTTCTTGAGATGCGTAGGCAATCGGCTCGAATTGTCCTTTGCCGAGCCCTATGCTGCCTTGGTTTGCAGAACCACCAAGCAGCAATGAGTGTAATAACAAAGTTTTTCCTGACCTAGTTTGCAGATGTTAGCAATTCTTTCGAAAAGCAGTGAAAGGGAGATAGGGAAGGCTGTACCCAGTATCACCCGTAATCACATTGAGTCCGCCTCTGGCAAACTCGACGTCAAGCCTGGCTTGAGTGTGATTGAACTCCCCGAGGACCTGCGCTGTGGAAAATGAGGGAACCCGCTGGTCTAATCTTTGTGCCTGCATCATAAGCTGGGTTTTGTCTGTGGCCACCGGGGAAGTCTTGCGGTCCATAAAGTCGCTTAATCGTTGCAAGCTCACCATCGCTTGCGCGTATTGCCCAGCACCAAGTACACTTAAGGTAAGCATACTCTTGATTATGTTGAAAACAGCGACAAGTGTAAAGACAATATCCGGCGCCAAAGGCTTTTCCCCTGCGAATATGAAAAGGCATAGACTGAGGACCATTGCCAGAAAGGAGCATGAAGAGGAAAGGCTTTCTGAGAGAATGATGACACGCATCTTCAGCCAGATAGCATCTAACTCTTGCTTCCTCTCATCCAAAATCCTTCTTATAAAAGACTGTGCGTTTCCCAGTATCTTGATCATTAGTAGAGCCCGTATGCTTTCACTTGTTCGTGTTATCCGCCTATCGGTTGCCCGCACGATCGCTGACTGAGATTTGGTTTGTTCCAATATTATGAATCGGGAAAGAGGATATCTAGTGACAAGAAGAAATAGCAGGCTGGGGATATAGTACCATTGCATAACCCTGTATAAGAGAATGGAGGCCGTGATGAGTTCGACGGGGACCATGAATGCCGTCATTGCGGTGTATCGAAGTGTACCCAACCTGTCAATATCGACTGATATAATGCTCTGTAATTGCCCAATATTAATATCTGCATCTGCCTCGAGCATTATCATTTTCCGATATACAGCGGCGATAATAAGAGCCTTCCAGTCTCCTATTGTGTGGGTAGCAAAATACTCGAAAGTCTGCATGCATAGACCACGAATAATCGGCGATACTGCAAACAATGTGATGGAGAACCAAGGTTGAAGCTTGGCTTCAGATGGACTTTGAAGGGAAAGAAGAAGCTGATGTAGCCCGACCGTCCCCACAAGCTCGAAGAAGCCACACAGGCCTGCAAATAGAGCCATTGTAGCTAGCCTCGTTCGAAACAACTTCCAGAGAATGAACTTGAAAGGTAAAGATTCCGGGCCACAACTTGCATAGCCTTGTTGCCAAGTCTCTACCGAGGCCTCGTTTTTCGGAGGATAAAGATCTTCCTTGTTGATGGAGCCGTTTCGTTCGTAGCCGAGTGTCACCAGGGGACTGACCCAAGTATAAAGCCACCATCTGGAGAGAGGCGAACATGTATCTTGAGGGTGATATGCACCCTTAACCGATGTGTTCAAGGTGGGAGAGAGAATAGGAACAAGAATCGAGCATGTAGAGCTCGCCACTAGCTGGACTATATCCAACGAGGAGAGTCCTGAACCTGACGGGGCTTGAAGCCATATCACTGGGTATAACCGCCGGGGTACATCTACTGTGAGATAGATGGCTAGACTGAGAAATGTTGCGTTTTTTAAAAAAAGGAGTCGACAAGGCGTTGGCGCCAGGTAGAGAGCTCGGAATAGTGATATGATTACCTGAGGCGTTAGTGAAGTACTTATTCATTTATAACTTGCCAGAATTTACCCAGAGCGAGGCTGTAATAATCCTTGACTTTTTATCCAAGGCCCCAGTCCACAGAGAAGCAAAGGAGGAGACCGCACATGTCACAGCCGAAAGAAATCCTAGAATTCCCCAGAGTATCTGAGTTGGGCTCAATGTCATTGGACTGGCCAGTGTTCGTCGACATGAAAAATGTACAATGTTGGCAACGTAAATGAGCATGCACAGCCCAGCTAGAACTAGCATGTTAAACTCAACTGAAGGAAAGAGAATCGGCATAATTGTCAGTATATGAATATGTTTTGAAGGAAGTGTATGAAGTGTATGAAGAGCAATGACTAATTGTGCGTTCACTCTTATAACCAAGGGCGAGACATTGACAACTGACGCAACAAAGAAACAGAATTCTTGAAGAAGTGCCTATTTCTTCTTGAACGGAAACAGGTTTATAAAGCAGTAAACACACTGTCACTCATAGATGATTCCCCTTGATCTTTACCTTTTGGCTCCACACAAGACTTGACCGGCCACATAGCACAGCCAAGAGCAGGGTACGCAGATAGGTAGACTCAACCTTGCTATACAAATTGCCCAATTGAGTAAGTTCAGAGTCTGCCATGTCTGAGCACTCCAACTTGTAGATCCCATCAAGCAGGAGGCGCCCAGGTGGGCAAAAAGACACGGGGCCAGATTAAGCTATTCTGCCATAGGGCCCAATGGATTGGTGCAAATTTTCCAGACTGATTCGCATCGTACGACAACGCCAACAACTCGTCGGTCATCCGCTAAGAGGGCTTAGTCTCAGAGATGTTGGAGGCGTGAAAAGAAGGGACGTCTTGGTTCTTGATGAGGTGGTCGTTCTCAGTTACCCGATTGGGAATGTCCACCGCTAGCGCCAACACCGAACTGAACATGGCACAAACATATCCCAGCAAGATACACGATGACAGAAAAAATCCTGACATATGATCTTGAGGCCCCTAATTCCTTTAATTTGAGAAATATGCCTGCTTTTCGACTGATCTTGTGGCTGTTCTTCTCCTCTTCAACTTGGCCTGCGGAAAAGTCACCATGAGACGCTGGCTCGCGGAGTGGTCACTTGCTGGTTTATTCGCACTTGCAAAGGGAGCAGTAGCAGAGTCAGAGGGCTCTCAAACTCAACTCTCCTGCAATTATGAAGATGGGTCGTTTACGACGTTCAGAAGCCATGCATTTCCTTCCCATTCGGTCCGGATCAAAGAGCAGAATGACGAAGTCTGCGACGCAGGGTCAAAGCAGTACACTGGATGGCTTGAATTTCACGGAAAACATATATTCTTTTGTGAGTTCTGAGACGAGTAGAGAGGTACTCTTGCTGACCATGTGATGGAAGGGTACTTTGACAGCTTGAATGATCCCTTGAGTGATCCGCTCACATTGTGGTTGACGGGAGGACCTGGCGTAAGCAGCTTGGTTGGTGAGGATTCTCCTCTGCTTGTGAAGAACTGATTCAGTGCGACTAACTAGAGATCAGGTTTAATGCTGGAATTAGGTCCCTGTCGCATCAAGACCGGAGGCAATCACACAGAGAGAAACCCTTCTTCTTGGACAAGAAACTCATCGATGATATTTGTCGACCAGCCGGTAGGAACAGGGCTTTCATATGTGGATTCTCGCCTGGATATCCCAACAACTTCCGAAATTGCTGCAGAAGATATGCATATCTTTCTGCAAATCTTCATGACGGAAGTCTTTCCTGAACGCCGACATACCCCTTTTCACATAGCAGGCGAGAGTTATGCTGTATGTCCCTTTTCGCATTGGAATTAGTCGGCCGTTTGCTCTAACAGTATCTTGAAGGGGCATTATATTCCTACCCTGTCACGAGAGATACTTCGGCAGAACCAGGTTCCTGAAACGCCAGAGATTTCACTTCGATCGATCCTGATCGGGAATGGCTATGTTTCGCCCCTCGACACTCTCTACGGATATTACGAGACTCTCTGCACGACAAAGCCAGGCGTTGACGAGCCCGTTTTCAACCAGACCCGCTGCCAGATCATTTCAGAGAAACTACCTAGATGTATCAGCATTTATGAGGTGTGTTATCGACATCCAGACGAGGTTCTATGCAAAGCCGCGGATGCAGTTTGTGGCGTCATAAAGGAACTGTACCACAACGAGTCACATGCAGGGGGACGTGATCCTTTTGATAGTAAGGCTTGGAATTGAATGCTTTCCAAACAACAATATGCTGATGCTTGCCAGTCACTCGAACCTGTGAAGTGGACCACTTGTGTTTCTCGCAAACCCTCGAGATTCAGAAATACATTAATAAGCCTAGCACTTGGGCCGCTCTTGGTGTTCCGGAAGCTGTCCGAAATTTCTCCATTGAATCCAAGGAAGTTGCTTCCGCGTTCGAGGCTACCACTGATCTGTACAGCAATGTCATGGATGATATCAAGTACACATTGGAGCATGGAGCGGACGTGTTGATATACAACGGGAACTTGGACCTTGCATGCAACACCGCGGGTAACTTAAGGTGGGCGGATGCTCTACGTTGGAATGGACAGGCACCGTTCACTTCAGAAGATCTGAAACCTTGGTACTCGAACGTAGGTGGTAGCAAAGTCAAGGCGGGGAGTTTCAAGGAAGTCTTCGCCTCAGTCCCCAACGGGGTCTCTGGCAAACAGCGCTTCGCGTTTGTCACGGTAGATAAATCTGGGCATATGGTGAGTGCAAATTGTGATAGCAGCTGAGTACGGAAGCTAACACAGCGCAGGTTCCATTAGATCAGCCTGAAGTGGCACTTGATCTTTATCAAAAGTGGTTGTTTCAAAAATCTTTCTGATCAGAAACCTTCAAATGACTGCCTTGACACTTTCGGTTGATACAAGAGGAATTTGCATGCCGCCAGGCTCGCCAGCATTATCCATGATGGTCGAACTCGAGCTCAATTACTAGACGGTCTAGACCTCACCATTCCCAGTTTCAAAACGTGACACTCAATTAATCCGTCCATTCTCAAAGTCTTCATCGAACTCCATGAGTCTTCCTGTGTGCTCATTGCAAGAAGGCTCACTTATAGATGGCATGAATACACCCGGACTCGACTGTTAAAGAGTCATTCTGTTGAATAGTTCAATATTCCATCTTCAAAGTGGCATTCAATTGGCGGATTGATAGATCACCAAAGCATGAATGCTTTCGAAAGTGACTGGTCCACTGACCGCGTGGAACTATTGAAATGTGACCAGCAAGTAAGGGGCGCACTCTGTAGTCTGATGTGGCTTGCAGATCGCCCAAAAAAGAGAGATGCGCGAGGATCGTTTTGGTATTATCCATGCACCAGAATGGGTAACGAATTACCAATGTAATCAATGAGATCTGGAATTTGCGACGATTTGCTTGACAGCAATCACCGGGCAAAAAAATGATCGCTGGTCCCACTGCTCCTACCCGAGCAAGTCGGATACCAGCAGAGCCTAAAGATTACAAGGGATGCTGTCGCTCAATCAGCACGGATAATTGAAGCAATCGATAACACTAATACAGGCCGTGGCGATTAGCCTCCTAAAGGGTATTGAGCGTGGTTAAGCTCATACTCCAGTTCCTTGCTTCCCTGAAACATAATCACTCCAGAAGAATGTCATCCATGAAACCTAAGTTGAATATCTACTCTCCGCAAAAACTGATGCAAACCAAAAATATCGTGCGCGTCAGATCTTCCTTGCTTGAACAGAGTCTGGCCAACCAGCTCTTTTGTGGGGTTACTCAGGCATCGGGTGAAGGCCTGGCCTTGGTCGTTCATCGCCTTTGCCGTCAACTCATGGCTGGACAATTCTCCTCAATTAGTATATGCTTCTCTTGATCGTTGTCAATCTATTATGTCCTGTCCTAAGCCATCAAACCTAGCCAATTTCTCTTGTGATGGTCCCCTCCGCTTGAAGGGCTGTTTCGTCTTCTCGACAGTTCTTATTGAAACCGACGTTGCGAACGCAGTCAGCGACTGGACATCTTACTCAACTTCGATATGGAGTCTAAGAAGGAGTCACTGGATATCAACATCTGTCAGTCATTGAGAGAATCGACAAATGATGAAAGAGCCGAAGCACCGGAGCCACAGATCTATACGCAGGAGACGCAGCTTGAGATAGGTGATGATACTGATGACGACGTGTATGCCCTGTGTTTCCCTTTATTAGAATATTCACACCTTTCGAGTTATTTGCAAGCAATATTGACCTGAGAAGCGTCTCTCCAGAGGTACGAGCGAGTGTTCCTGCAGACGATGAGGACATCCCAGTCAATACCTTCCGCGCCTGGTTCCTGGGGATAGTCGGAACTGTGATCCTTACAGCGTTGAACCAGTTCTTTCAACTTCATTCTCCACCACGTGAGTGTCTTGGTCAAAAATAGTAGCAGGAGGACTGATTTGGATTGTAGTATTCCTTTCCGCATACCTAGCCATCCTAGTGACATTCCCCTGCGGAAGGTTGATGGAAGCTGTTTTGCCTGAAAGAAAATGGAATATACTGGGATGGACATTTACACTCAACCCAGGACGCTTCAATCAAAAGGAGCACTGTATAGTGGCCATAATGGCGTCCTTGGTGACGGCCTTTGACAACGGGTCTCTCGCAACAGATGTCTACGTCGCTTTTGAGAAGTTCCTTCACGTTCCTATTTCCCTCGGATACAGGTTCACCTTTCTTCTCACGACGCAGGCCCTGAGCTTTGGCATTGCAGGATTATTTCACAAATTCCTCGTTGAGCCAGCAACCTGCGTCTGGCCGGGGGTTCTCCCGACTTGCTCCATGTTGTATACTATGCACCAACGGAACAAACAGAACGAAGAAACTAATGGATGGAAAATCAGTCGCATGAGGCTTTTTGCTGTGGTTATCCTATGTGGGGCACTGTATCAGTTTCTTCCCGGGTTCTTATTCACAGGCCTCACAACATTCGCCTGGATAACTTGGATTGTTCCCAACAATGTCACTATCAACCAGGTCTTTGGAGCCATTTCAGGAATGGATCTTCTCCCCATGACCTTGGACTGGAATCAGATCACTGGCTATCTAGGATCACCTCTCCTTGTGCCTACATGGGCGTTGACGAACGTGTTCTGTGGAAGTATCTTTTTCCTTTGGATCGTGTCTCCGGCATTACATTGGAGCAATGTTTGGGAGGGAATGTACATGCCGTTTTCTTCGTCGAAGACGTTCGATAATACAGGTAGAGTAATTCTTGGTACGTCTCTTAGGAGTTTTCTAACACATTCAAGGCAAACCATACAACACCAGTCGAGTGATGAACTCAGATTATTCACTAAATCAAACTGCCTATCATGATTATTCTCCCGTGTTTCTGTCAACAACGTCTGTTCTTTCATATGGATTGGGATTTGCCGCTGTGGCTTCAATCATAGTTCATACCGCTCTCTACCACCGTCATGAGATTTGGTACGGTCTTCTTGCCAGTATTGGAAAGTCGTCTGGTGAAGAGAAACCAGACATTCACGCACGGGTAAGCACCATGACCCCCATGTGAAATGCCACTAACAAAAGCAGTTGATGAAGAAGTATAAGCAAGTTCCGACGTGGTGGTATGGCTGTACCTTTCTAGCCATATTCAGCATCAGTATCGCTTTTCTCTATGCCTATGATACCGGTCTTCCCTGGTATGGTCTGATCCTGGCTATAGCGCTTCACGTAATACTCTTGTTGCCAACAGGTATCATGATGGCCTACTGCAACATCAAGCTGTCGACTGCCGTGATATCGGCCCTCGTAGCGGGGTATATCTGGCCAGGCAAGATGATGAACAATGTGGTCTTCAAGATCTTTACTCTTGTTTCATCAGCTCAAGGGCTCGGATATATCTCGGTCATGAAGCTTGCCCACTACATGGTGAGCCTTCCTTTCAAGCCGGAAGAACAAGGCTTCCTCTAACAGATCCAGAAAATTCCTCCTCAGGTCACTTTCGCGGCACAGTGCACGGGCATCATCGTTTCGTGGCTGACACAGACCGCAGTTAACGTCTGGGCGATGGGAAACGTCGAAGACATCTGCACCCCGAAAGCAAGTAACAACGTAAGTTCGGAAAACTCAAATATGGGACTGTTAAACTGAGGCATGGCAGTTCCTCTGCCCACTCGCTGCAGGCTACGCCACAAATGCCACCTTCTGGGGTCTCATCGGCCCGAAAAGACTCTTCTCGGAGGGCTCAATGTACCGATCTATGCTGTGGTTCTTCTTCATCGGTGCCGCATCCCCAATAATACTGTACCTTCTGGACAGACGCTTCCCCAGAGCAATGCTGAGAAAGGTACCTGCAGACCGCACCGCATACAATATCAGTTGAGATACTGACTGCAAGTAGATCCATCTACCCGCAATCTTCGCATCCACCGCATCGATACCACCAGCCACCGCGGCAAACTACATGGCCTGGGGTATTGTGGGGCTCTACTTCAACGGCCATCTCAAGCGCAGGTACCGACCATGGTGGATGAAGTATAATTACATCCTGTCGGCTGGACTCGATGCAGCGCTGGCAGTCGGCAACTTTCTCATCTTCTTCTGCTTGGCGTACCCTGGTGTTGAGCTCAAGTGGTTCGGGAACGACATCGCCGCGCGAACCGCAGATGGGCTGGGCGTGCCGTTGCGAACGGTGGAGCGCGGACAAACCTTTGGACCGCGGACTTGGAATTGAGGCGTGAATAGTGTCAGATAATGTTTGTTATTATTAGAGTGCTTTTGCAGATGTCTCGTAATCTATGCATTAGGTACTTTTGCTGTCCTGCTGAAATACGTATGATGTCAATGCATGCGGAGGTGGAGAGCCCAACTTCCCCACTTCACCTGGGGTAATAATCACCTGGATACCTGTCTATCCCATAGGAGATCTAACTAATAAATCAATGATGGCATTGTGCAGATTATAGAACACACCATGCTCAAGACTAGATAGGATTAAATGCGCGATTCATAAGAGGCAGAGGATAAAGAATATCGTCACTCCACTGCAGGACAACAGTGGTATGACATGGCATGATCTCTCTAGTCACGGAGTACACTATACTTGCATGCAGTAGCTGCAAACTATACTATGGAGATCGAAATAGGAGTAAATTGAGCAACAATTAAGAGCATTGATATCTTCTATCAGCAGCCAATGATCCTACGTAGATAGTGAGATTGGAAAATGGGCGATTCAATGTTCACGAGACCCCAAACGGGCCAAACCCAGATCCCTTGTCCAACCGCCAAGAGAGCTAAATCCGAAGCCAGTCTCAAAAGTCTCAGAAACTAGTCAACGCCAGACTTTCCCACGGCCAGTCAGCTCGCCCTTCCCGCCCTTGGCATGTCTACCAGGATTTGTTGTTCGGAGCCGGGGCTGAATGGCTGTGCTCTGGGCCCCTGTTGGAATGTGAAGGTACTGTACTTACGGAGTACGCAGTATACCATACTGGGATGCCTTGGAATTTAGTTCCACAACATATGGTCGTGGATCATACCAAGAAGAACAGAAGTGGTAGACGAGTTAGGCGGCCAGCAACAAACAAACATACTTGTGTCGTTTCATCTCACCTTGCAGATTTGCATTTGCATTTGCATTTGCATTTGCGATCGCCGTAGATGACTGTAGATAGATACTCTGTCGAGAAAGGATCGGATGGGCTCGTGTTGTGGTAATCCTGCAATTCACTGTAAATGGTCTGATTAAGGTGCACGCCAACTTTAAAGGCTGGATGGAGCGAACCCGAACCCCGCCATGAGTGTGAGGTGACAGATGGCGATCAGAAGACAAGACGCGATTGTCGAGTGGATGATAAAGAGCTCGTTCGGGCGCAAGTACGGCTTGACTAAATACCAGGTTTGAGTCTTCTTTCATTTTCCCTCTCTCTGTTCCATTTCATTCCGTATCTTTTGTCATCGTTCCGATCCGCGGTCGGTCGCATTCTCAATCCATCCATCATCGCCAACTACTGTACTCCCGTTTCTACGGTACACAAGCGGCCGATCCGTTGTTCCCAGCCGAACGCGCAGCCCATCGACGATTCTGGAACGGACTCATGGGACTGTCGGCAAGCGACGGAGAAATGAACAGTAAAAATCATCATATGGTCATCGTGCTTGGTATAGGTTTGGGAGTCGTCTCATTGATCATCATGTGTCTGCTGTGAGTTCCTTTCCCATCACTATCTACCAAGCTGCGCTATGCAAGTAAGGTAGCTAATCTGACAGATTGACCATCTTCATCAACCGCCGCGAGCGAACGCCCACCTTCAAGAAAAGCAGAAAAGACCACAGCGATAAGTTGCGCAGATTGGACGCAGTCTCGCCGATCCGAACGCTGGAAGAATGGTGGTCCAAATCGAAAGGTCCTCTTTTGCCCTCCGAAGGGGCGGATGGGCAGTTTATCTGGTACGTGGACTTTCCATCGCATGCAGCTTAAGCGATCACGAAGCTCGTCACCGGCTAACACCATCCTTCATCAGCGTCGTCTGTCTTGAATCCGTCCAACGCTCCCAGGAAATCCGAGAACTCAAATGTCTGCACGTCTTCCACAAGGAATGTCTGGATAAATGGTATCTGCAGGACCACTTCAACTGTCCGCTCTGTCATCGCGCATATTATGTTCAGGAGTCGCGGCCCAGTCACGACTTTGTGTGGATGGTATGACGGAGTCGCGTCTGCTTTGACGGTCGGCCGTTGTGGATTTCTGCTTCTTGTTCCTGCACGGAACCCGCGCTGGACGCGTAATGCTTACCAAACACTTTACGACTTTGTCTTATGATGTTATGACCAATGCAATACCTCACAAGTGAACCAACACCGATCAGACGGGAAACCCATCTCTCGATGGTAGATACTCGAAATTGAAATCCCACGTGTTCGGATTATACCAGTCCAAGACGTTGTACAGGCCCGAGGTCGCATCGTTGAAGACTTCGGCTTGCACTGGCTGTGGGTCGAGAATCTGATCGAGGATATGCGACAGTTTCTTCTCAACCTCCTTGCATGTCTTGTAATTCCCATGGCCGGGGCGCGCTACCCAGGACAGGCATGAGAGAAAGACGCTGAGGTTCCGGATGAGTTCGGCCCGCGGTAAAACGATGGCATGGGGTCCGACTTCCCGGCTCTGTCGGAGGAGCTCGAGGGTCAAGACGCTGGCGCCGGGGAGACCATAATAGAGGATCTGTACCATGTCAGCCTTTGAAGCCACGAACAGACCGCAAAAAGTGTCCCTACGATCCATGAGTAATGCCGGGTCATGTCCATCAGCGAATCTCTCTCCGCGTTGATCCTGATGATGTTCGACAGTACTTGTCTGGATGTTTCGAAAAGTGCCGCTTGACCGGTGTTGGTGCGTTTGACCAGCGTCCTCTGAACCAGGAAGACAGTGTACAGGTAGTCGAGATAGGTATGAAGTAACGCAAATGACGAGCAATAGATATCATTCTCCTCCACATCCGCACGAATATCGTAGCGCAGATAAGCAGGAGCCGTGTCCCATGTATTCCGTGCTTTCTCAACCAGGCGACTACGGAATGTCTCAGCAGTGGGTAGAGTGTTTGGCTTCGGGGTCTTACTTTGATTTCTCCACGAGATCATCCTGGTCACCAGGGCCGAGCGCTAGTTCAAGCGCCTCTTCTCGGAAGATGGCGAGCAGGAATCGAAGGCGAATTAGAGTAACGGGGTGGGCAGTCCCATAAACATGCCATCCCGCCTTGTCTAGATCCGATATTGCTTGCGTCAGCGTGCTCCCGCCCGCAAGTAGTATTTCATGACTGATATCCATCGGAGGAGTCAATGTGCAGTATCGGTAATTGATGAGGGGCGGCCGGCCCACAAACGTAGCAAGCGACTTGTCCGCGTAGAATGCTGAAGCAAAGCAGACTCTTCTCCATTGACGTAGGAACCATGGGCAGTCATCCGTCTGAGTGCTCTCTTGATGGAGACCGGCAGCGTAGATCGTGGCAGACAAATCACCTAATCGACGCCAAGCTTGATAACCTAAATTAACGGTCAACAAACCATCAACTGTCGCAGTGAGTAGTTAGTCATACTAGAGTCACCATATTGCTGTGTCCTTAACATAACGTCATTGTACTGGTAGAAGCCCAGGAGTTCGTTCACAGACGATGCTTGATCGCAGAAACCGAGGCAGATACCACTGGCCTCAACGATCTGAGCGCGTAGTCGATCTTTGGCCTCGCTATCAGGCGCTGCTTGAGTGAAATCAGGATCGCTGTCAGGTGTAGACATCAACGCTATCCCGGTAATCGCAAAGATATTCCCCAGGGCTTCCCATCGGGAATTCCTCCCAGTAAAGGAAGATAAGTACTGCTCCACGGTCATCGAACCATGAATGGTCAGCGGGCGAGAAGTATTCTGAAAAATCTGGTTGACCAAATCTTGAAACTGAGAATCGAAGTCATTTGCGTCTAAACTGTCGAATATCCTTCGGATGGACTCAACGATCGAATAAATAACGATCTTTGGCACGATGGTAATCACCGTCCGAGCATGGTACTTGCGAATCATGATATCGCAGACCGGAAGATCGTACAGCAACTTGAGCATCTCCAAGCCCATCTGCAGTCGATCTGAATCAACAGAGCGAGTGGACACTGCAGCCGCCGAGCTGTTGTCTACTTCAAAAGGGATATCACTGCGATGCTCGGCAAGAACAGCTGAATAGCTGGTCGATCCAAGATATCCAGGAAGGGCCGACGGCGGCTCCACAGTCGTACGGAATCGACCATGTTCACGATTTGAGCCAGGACTTGAGGCACTACGAACAGTCAGTCTCTACCATAAACGCACATCATCGTCCTGCCGGGATCACATAAAAGGGTTCTGAGTCCTGACTTTGAAGTTGGCTGGCTCGTCAATCTCCTTGATGCTTCAATGGGGCTGGCTCGACTGGCGACTGTTCGCTTTGTCATAGGCGCAGGATGATAGAAACATCGGCTAGCGATGTTCTTCGCCGTACAGCGGCCACACACCGGTCTCCCATGATCACAGCGCAATTTGGCTTTGCGACAGGGTTCGCAGGACTGTAGCGTTCCATTGCGACGGACTGCCGGCGATCGGGTTTGTCCTGCGATTTCGACCATCCTCGGCAGCTTGAAATATCTTCCGTCAAGAAAGTTTGGTGGCCATGAAATTATCACAACATTTTCAGGTTTAAGGTTAAGTTTCGATGGTTGATTTTATGCATCTGGAAGGATTATGGTGAGAACGAAACATGGTCATGTCGGCAAAAGTGGGCCTCAGGCTGTCTAGCTCAATGCGGTTAGCGTGGTCAAATATATAGATCTCCATCACAAGGCCGACTTCATACTCAAGACAAACTTCATCCGACAACAATACCAGTAAAACCTAACCCATTGATCGGGTATACTAGATTTGTCAATGAAGGATTTACTACGACTTGCTCCTATGTCAACAATTGCCTTGATATGATGTCTTCGAGCACAACCGGACCTCAATCTCTTCGCTCCACCAATGCCTCCCCGTAGTGGCTGATATCGTACCCATTTTCTTCCAGATACGCCTTGAACCGAGCGTCTTCGGTCTCTAGCTCACGGGACATGTCCGGGATCAGGAACCACGAACAAAGACCTCCAAGCACAGCAAACCCAGAACTAATCAGCAAACAACCAGCTGACCTTGATGTGCTCACAAAACATAGAACAATGGCTCCATGTAGCCAACTATAGATTCAATGAATGTCAGCGCTGTTCAGGGATGAGCAAGAACCACTATTGAAGTACATACTAATCTGTGCATTGTACCCATCACTGAACAGGGCCAAGTCAGACACTGACGTTCACGACACCTCCCTGCTTGCTTCCTGGAATAACCTCGGACTCATGTTGCTTTGGAATTTTATCATTGTCTTCAACTGTCGGTTTGAACTCGCGCTGATCTGCCCGTCTTCCATTGCGCCGTCAGAACCCATTCCCGTGGAGAGCTGACCGGGAATGGCCAGAATTCGAAATCACAGAGCGCAAAAGACACCAAGTGCGATGAGAGATGCTGTCATTAAGTGAGCCTTGTTTTATACATGTGTAGAATATGTATTCTGTATGGAAGCTTTCGTGTGAATTGCCATACTTGATCTCCCCATCATCATCCAATAATGGACTTCAGAGATCCCACGCGTCAGGATTGTCGCAATCACAACGTCGAGCTCACAGCATGCATTCTCATATGGCGCAAATATCCCCGCTTAGAGTCATCTCTAGGAGCTACAGTGCCAGATGGGTTGACCGACGGAGAGATTCTGACTAGGCACGAGTGAGGTATTTATCTTGTTCATGGCTCCCGCGGGGTTGATGATTGGATTGTTTTCGATTTGAGGCACAGCGGTATGAGAATATTCGAGATGGACAATTACTACTATTCATTGAAAGAGGAGCAGATTCAGTCCTACAAAGAGAAGGGTTATTTGCTTGTTGAGGGCTTCCTCAACAAGGCTGAGGCCCAGCTTCTCCAGCAATGATCCCAGGAGGTCCACGATCTACCTCGCACACCTGAAGTCCCGTGGATGCCATATGACGTGAGATAATTCTAGAGTAGACAGTGGTCTACTGAAGGAGAGAGCTGGAAACTGATATAAAGGACAGGAATGAATGCCTATGGACAGAGAGTCCTCTTTCGCACGGAAAACTTTGCCAACAGCCATGCGGGATTTAGTAGCTTTCTGCGAGGCCAGCGAGTGCTGGGCGTGCTTGAGCAGCTGGCTACGGAGGAAATGCTTCTATTTAAGGAAAAGATCAATTACAAGCTTGCAGGAAGTGGTATGCTCCTCCAACGTATACTCTACATTTAGACAATCATTTAATCCTGTTTCAGGCGGTTTTGACCCTCATATCGATGCCAACGCATACACTCATGTCAAGGACATCAAGCACCTGACGATTCCTGCGGCTGTCGACGAAATGAATGCTGAAAATGGCGGCCTGGAAGTAGTCGACGGTAGTCACCTCATTGGACATCCCCCTAGGTCGTGATCGCTGCATCGAGCAATCCTGGGTTGAGAGCCATAAGTGGACATCATGTAATCTCAAGCCTGTTGAGGGAATTACACAGACCCGGATATCAACAGCTTACTAGAGCACATAGGCGACATCCTTATCTTCGGGTCCTACCTCGCTCGCCGATGCTGACTGTCGACGGTCGTGGAGCGGTTGTCGTATAGCCATCTTAGTAAATGGGGCAAATAGCCTCCTCGATGATAGCTAGACACTCAACATACGACCTTATCAAGCAGAGTAAGAGAATAGCCTGTAATAGGAACGGAAGACGCGAATAGTCGGATACATCTCTGAAGCTTATGAGACACCCGAGTAGCATCGATGAACGTACGAAGTCTAAACCGGAGGCCAGAAAAAGTAGTTTAGACAGAGCAAATCGCACGTGGGCAGCGTGAAGTCAACCATATAAGTAGCTCCATCAAACCCGCGGCGGATCATCCTCTTCCATCCGCAGGAGCATCACACCCAGGCACCCTCTCCTACACCTGAAGCCAAAAATGACCCCATCAACTCCTTTCGAGAAAGCAAACCATCTCATTAACTGCCTCCAAAAGCACGGCCAAGGCGACTACATCGGCCAAATCATCCCCCTCGACTCAACACGTGAGATCCACCTCCGCATGAACCTGAAAAACAACCAGTCCGTCGGCCCCATCGGCCACGAGACACCAGGCGCGGAGTACCCTCCGCGGCCTGGGCTTCAGTGAGACGGTCTGCAAATTAGTAGAGAGTCATGTCCCTGCGAAGCGGTGCGTAAGCAGTCGCCTGCCATTACCATTGTCGTTGCAAATCTAGTAGCCGTAATGGTAGAGCTGACCATCGCAGATTTCTCACGGCTGTGGATAGCGCGTACTACGATTCGCTGTCTGCTGCGTCGAAAAAGTCGCTTGAGTTCCAGGGTGGTCCGTTTAGCGGGGCGGAGCTGGCGACGTTTGAGGCGGATCCGCTGCGCGAGGAGATGGTCCTGTTGAGGCTTTGGGATGATAGTGATAGAGCCAAGGTTCTGGGGATTGAGGGTCTGACGCCGCGCGCGGGGGAGTATCTGGATGATCGCCGGGCATTTGGAGAGGGAGGCTGGAGGTGGAGCTGCAGATGGACATGGAGATGGATGATTTGTCTAGCGAAACCAAACAGATGGAGACGCCGGAGCAGGGTCGTTGATTAGGGATGTCTTGGTGGTATCTCTGGTTCTTGTAGACTAGGTCTTGGAAGGTCACCAACTTCGTGAGTCGAATATATGATAGAAGAAAGACAGAATTTTCATGAATATGCACGTCGTTGCTTAAGCATAAGGCTTTAATGTATACATTCGTTCATACAAGGGTATAGACGGCATGACACTTCATCTAATACTTCCAACGCAATCTCAAACACGGTGCTCCACGTTTGTCACGGAGATACCGGTTTCCTCGCCCTTCTCGGCCACATTCTCGGGCAGAGTGCCCAGGGCGCGACCGCCGAAGAGCAAATCAATCTCTTCCAGGGACTTCTGCTTGGTTTCCTTGAAGCAGAAGTAGATGACCGGCAGGGTAATGCAAATGTCTAGACAAGATACATTAGCCCATTTCACAACGATGACACCTTTTTGGGGAGCAAACTTACTCCATGCTACGAAGACAAAGTAGAACTTCCATCCAAGCTTGCCCAGAGCAATAGGAGAGACTTGGGCCCAGAGAGTAGCCACGGCCCAGTTACCGATACCTGTCGCAAAGGCGTTTCCTTTACCACGAATCTGCATGGGCATGACCTCGGACATGTAGACCCTTGATTGCAATCAGCTAGCGTCATCGAAGTAGAGTGACGAGAATACTTACCAACTGCAAGGGCCAAAGGACAGGGAAAATATGGTGGTCACGCAGAAGAGGAATGCAACCCCACCGATACTGTAGCCATGGCGGCTACCATCCTCATTCTGCGAGTTCAATGATGCTTCACAGATCAAGGCAATGGAAATTCCGATGGCACCAAACATCATGGGCCTGCGTCGTCCTACTCTGTCCAGAATGAAGATGATGAAGAACAAGTTTGCGAGAGGACCAACGCAGTTGTAAATACCGGCAACTAGCGTGGCTCTGTTCCCTGTGATACCGAGCGACTCATACATAATCGTTTGATAGTAGCCGATCACGTTGACACCGGTAAACTGAGTGAAGACCTGCACGGCAACACCATGCCTATATGATATGGTTAGCGACGGCGGTTATAGCAGGGGTCCGACAGCCAGATGGCGGCCGTGGGGAGGGCGTACATCAATCTGGTCCGCCACTGAGGGACTTGGAACATGATGAGCCAGCCAGGCGCCGTAACAGCCTTTTCGGCATCAATAGTGGCCCTGATCTCCGTGTATTCGGTCTGAATCCAGTCGTCATTGGTACCGTCATAGTGCAATCTCTTTAAGATCCTCATCGCCTCGTCGTACTTCTCGGTCTCGACCAAGTATCGAGGGGACTCTGGCATGAAAACCATGCCGACAACGAGAAGCAGAGCAGGAACGGCCTGGAATGCCAAGGGGAATCGCCATTGGAACGAACTCGTGTCTGGTGCGTGGAGTGATCCGTAACCGACCCATCTGCCGGGTGTCAGCAACCCCTGGAGATCACAAAGGGGAAGACCGGCACGTACGTGCTGACGATGAAACCAACACCAATCATCTGTTGCGCCAGTCCAACGATCAAACCGCGAGAGCGAGGATGCGCGCACTCGGCTTGGTAGACGGGCACGGACATGGACATGAGACCGACAGCCCATCCTGCGAGGATACGGCCGACCAGAATCATGGCCAGGTTCATTGCCGCAGCCTGAAGAATAGCGCCGACGAGACAGATAATAGCACCCATCTGGATGGTGAATTTACGCCCGAAGCGATCCATCGTCAGACCTCCCTGAAGGGCCCCAATGGCGGCTATCGCAGTCTCTGTCAGTGAACTAGTAGAATTGCAGTAGAAAAGGGAAGACATACCGCCTCCATTGAATGTACTGTTAATGGCACCGATAATGGCGGAGGTCTTGTTGGTGTTGAAGAAGGCGAGGAAATTAGGACTCGCGATAACATCGGTCATCACACCGGCATCGTATCCTTTTAATAAGCGACTTAGCCAGAAACTCAGATAGGGTGGATATGAAAGTGTGTGTTTTTGTAACTGAGAAGAGACAAAGGCGTCTCAAACCTCAGAATTCACACAAAAATGGTTTGAAGAGTATCATTGCTGAACGTACCAAAGAGAAACGACCCAGTAGCTGCAAAAGCAGCCAGACTCATGGTAAAAAGTCGGCCCATTTTGCTACACTTAAAGATAGCAACTCTAAAGACCAGCGAGAAGCGGAGTGCACCTGGGGAGCAAAACCGGCTGGCCGTTGGGGGAGCAAGCCATCTCTATATAAAATCTAGATTCAGCCATTCGCGAAGAGCCATCGAATGGTGAAAAGGCTTGTGTCGCAGAAACCAACAAAAGTAGCGAGAGGCCATCGAAGCGAGCCATGCCAACTTGGGGACACAGCGAAGGACAAGCGGGGAGAGAACCTCCAGATCCGGGGATTGCGGGTTAAAGATCGAAGCTAAGACTCTCAGCAACCGACAATTCAACCGGACAGTCCACTCGAGGCATTCGCTTGCTGCTCTGGCACTCTTGTGGCAGGGAAGAGTGATGTGGTGTGATTGGTGCAATAAATAAAAGTGAGACTAACATCTGACATTTATCCTCCCGTGTTCCTATTGATCGAACAACCATGGCCAAGCCAGGTATATCAAGGAGATTTCTCCGTCCAGACTATCGTCGACCAAGCCAAGCAACCACATGTCTTCAAGGCTGGCGTGCGCCATTGTCATTTTACACTCGACTCCGGTGGCATGACCTAGTCTGAGTTATGTTCTACTTGGAATGGCGGATCCAGGCGATTGAATTCCGTACTGCCTACGGAGAAAGCAGAGAGATCCACTCAGCGGCTGATGAAGCCGAAATTCCAATTGCAAAAGAGAAAGGAGATGCTTTGGACACTATAATAGGTGGGCAGATCTTGAAAGTCGTTCGACTGGCTCTCCTTGATGTACCTAGATGGCTCAGAACTTTCAGGTCCACGGTCCTGGACTCAGTGATAACTAGCCCATTACCTTAGAAACTAGACTAGATCGTCCAAGGTAAGAGATGAGCACCTACTCCGTAACAAGGCAGCCAAGTCATGTGGTCAAGGGCGTGACTGTCAGTCATGTCATCACGTGACTATTACTGACAGAGAATGCACGTGACAACGCGTCGAGCGCGTTGGCCAGCTTCCGCGCCAAACACGCTCAACTTTCCACCCGGCGTACTCCGTAACTTGTGACGGAAAGCTTCGTCGGTGGAAATGCCGCAGCAGTAAGGAAAACGAGCACAAGATCAGCTGGTCATCATTTGAATGATTTGAATGCGCTTCAAGGCAACGCGCATTCATAAAAGCTGAAGCCCATCTATTTCAATTGGTAGCATATGTCTCCTTGCTTTGGTGTCCTTTCCTCGGTCTTCAATGCAGTGGAATAAGACGACGTCGTGATCCAATACAGTGTCTTATGAGCCCGAGGTTGATACCTGTAATGTAGAGGCCGTAGGCAATACGTCAGGTTATCAATGGGCTGGACGAGTGGAAGTCACACACGTAACAATCTGTCAAAAGTAAGGCAGAGATGGACAAGCCCTCACTGATGCAATAGGTTTGTATAGATAGAACTAGAGGTCAATACCTTATCAGCCTACGCATTCTTCATGTTAGCAACCAAGGATCAATTGGACCCAAATCAGGAACTGTGGAATCTGTCGACGCCAAAGACACCTCGTGCGGGCGGGCTGGATCGGCCGAACTACCGCGCGGGCGTATAGTAAGGTACCTTGGGACTAGTTACGCCGTACTACAACGCCTCCACGCTGTGCAGTCCGCGTCCACATCGCGACGCGATTAGATGAAGCGCTTTTCTCCCACCGCACCACTAAGAGATCTAGTCCACTCCGGATCTCTCATCAAATTCCCCATTCTCCTCCATATCAATGTTCTGATCCTTTGTATTCTACGGCTCTCTTTCCCGTTACTGCTCTTATATTGGCTTCCAATTCCCCCATGCCACACCGATCTTGAATTCTATCGGCCGGTGGCAGTGTTGAGAACATGTCGGACCGCGAGCGTTCTGCTGCGGCATGTTCCTCCTCTCCGCCCACCGTACAGGCTCCTGAATCTGCTACTTTGAATTATGCCTTCCTCGTGCACTCCCAGAAGACCCTCACCCAGAACCTTCCCCCGCGAGTCGACAACAAGCTGCTTGCTCGTCAGAAGCGCCGTCGGACAAGGTATATATGGGCTCAATTCGAACCCGAAGTTGTCAATTGCCATTGACTGGCTCTGCTTAAACCATCTCTGCTAATTGCTGTCCGATTGCTGCCGTATAGTCCCGAGGACCACGCGGTACTCGAAGCCGAATATCAACGCAATCCCAAACCAGACAAGACAGCGCGCGCCAACATTGTGAGTCGCGTCTCGTTGGGAGAGAAGGAAGTGCAGGTATGATCTCGAGAACAAGCACGACGCGTCGTCAGCCACTTCAGTTCTGACCATGCAACGCTCCAGATCTGGTTCCAGAATCGTCGTCAGAATGACCGGCGAAAGTCCAAACCCCTCCAGCCACACGAACTTCTCGCCCCTCGATCGGACGTTGCTAGCCCTCTAAGACAAACTACAAGCGACGACAGCCCTTCTGCGGAGGCAGGGTCATCGAGTGGGGGAGAGCAGTACGATGGACGGGAACAAGACAGGGATCTTGCAGAATTGCCTTTGGAAGATGGCGTGCCGCAGTCTTCCTATGAGTCGGTAGAAAGTGGAGGCAAGGACGATACGGCACAGCTTAGTTTGAGCTCACAGACAAGCCTATCGTCGCAATCAAGCGAAAACAGTCAAGAGCTCCATAAGGCCATTCCTGATGCAACGTCGACCCAGCAAGATAACGACACGCCGCTTGATGACACACAACTCTCTGCCAAGAGAAAGCGTTCCATTTCAGACCTGCGCGGAGATCTCCCAATCACACTTCAGCAGCAGCAGCAGCAGCAACAACAAACTCCTGGCGGCCTACAGGTTCTGAAGTCGCCACCATCCCTACGTCTGTCACTGTCCTTTGACGGAGAGGCAATGGTACGAAGAGAAGGCGAGTTAACACCGTCTCCCCCGAAAGGACGCAACTCTCTCCGGATCGCCATGTCTTCGGATGGGAAAGCTGTCATCCGTACAGAAGATGAGCCATCCCCGTCCAAAGGCCGCATTTCCATGTTTTCCACAAGAAGCTCCCGATTCGCAGGGCTGCGTAGAAGCAGTAGTGCGGTGGTCCTTGGAACACCTCGGGCTGGCGCCATAGAGAAGGAGAAAGCCTTCGGAAGATCTCGAGACCCTCGGAACTGGGAATCATTTTTCGACACCGACGCAAGAAGCGCGTTGTCAACTCCAACCAGCTCTCAGAGTGCTCCTAACTCTGCCTCCCCTAACCTCATGCTTGCCCCTCGTCAGCGCTCATTGACCCGAAGCTTATCAGCAAGACACACTAATATGTCGACTTCGACCACCAACGATTACCTCAACACTCCGATTCCACAGCATGCTGGTGAGAAGCGGCGGAAACTCTCGCGTACTGTCTCCTCTCTAGGCCGACTTGAGTCTGGCTTTAGCAATCTCAACAGAACGCCATCGGGCACATATAAGATCTCCAAACTCCGTGATTCCATGAAAGACAAGGATGATTTGGATATCGAATGTGGCGACTCGGACAAAGAGAACTGGATTCCTGGGACCCGAGTCTCACATGTCCGGCGGCGAGCCGCCTCCCACCATCAGTCTCAGCGCCCAGTGCTCAAAGAATCCAATGGACGAGATGGGAGGATAAACAGGAATTTAACCGCAACAGGCAGGCGTTCCCGAATTCCTCAATTGTCGCATCGCAAAAGCATCAAGTCCATGCCAGAGCTTGATGCGGATGTTTCAGCTTTCATGGCTGGCGGAGGAGTCGCAAGCCAAGAAGAAGACCTCGACTGTGTTCAAGGTCTATTATCCTTGAGCCAAGGCGCTTGGAGGTAGACTTCATATTCCTCCTTGACTTTGTCTCTATGATACCATTAATTTCCTTTGTTCCTTTTCTTTTGTCTTATACTTCTTGACGTTCCTTTCTGCTCATGTTGGATGTCGCAAGCAAGCGAGGAGCGGTTCCATGTATGATGTCGGAGCGAGGCTCAGCTTGTAATGATTGAACTTTCTTTGCTTTGTGGACATAAGCCTCGGTTGTACGGAACATACAGCTTCCCCCTTGGGGGCTGTGGCCACTTGTTTGTGTTGACCACGATGATGATGAAACCCTTGTTATGAGATAGCCAAGCGATATTGATGTCAGGCAAGCTGTCTCGCTAATCAGACGACGAGGACGAATATAAATATTTCAATAGACCAACAATCTGTAGAGCAGTGCATTATTCCGATCCAGATTGAAGTGCTGAGGGGAGGTTGAAGTTGGCAGCTCCTGGCGGCAAGAAGAATGCAGGATGGACGCACGTGGTCCGCTGGCTGACTGATAAGGAATGCATCAAAGCGTTTGTGTTTCGTTTGTCTAGCTCCATCTCACTTTGTTATATCAGCAAGTTGTCTTCATCCCTGAGCTTTCTAAGGCAAAAGGCTCGAGGACCTGGACGAGTAGGTGTATATAGTGGAGAGGTAAGTTTGTACAAGTCCTGCTTTGTTTTATCCTCGTATTCTTCAGGACATGATGTCTCGGCTTTTGAGTGAGCTTGTCCCTGTCCCAGCCCACACAACAACGTTTATGCTTCGAATGCTGATCTATTCAACTCGTTTGGATAATCGAGGGTGTTATTCGCTCCTTTTTTCTGTTTCATACTGCTTGCGTTGTGGTTCTTCGATTCCCGTCTGAGCGGGCGCAGGCCTCTATCTTGTATACAATCTACTATTTTTCATGCAAGAAGAGCATCAGCATTCTTCCCCGGCTTATTGCATCTATCATAGGACTGTACTGACCACGAACCGACAGTGTCCTAATTCCCAACTGCTTCTAGCAAAAACATTGCAATATCTGGACGTCAGAGCAGTTTGTTGCCACATCGTATTGCCACAATGGGCGGAGGCCTCAAAGTGGCTATTGTCGGAGCTGGCTTCGCTGGCTTACGGTGCGCAGACATACTAGTCCAGAATGGTGCTCAAGTTACCATCTTTGAGGCAAGAGATCGACTCGGAGGGCGGGTGCGTTCACAGGCACATTGATCACCGCAAATCAGTTACTGAATTCGAACAGGTTCATCAAACAAAGATTGGCGATCATCTTATAGACTTGTGAGATGCCCGAACTCGACTGCCTGGAAGAGTCTAAGTTAATTCGTCGCAAGGGGCCCTAACTGGATTCATGGCACGGAGAAGAATCCCATCGCCGGCGTGGCAGAGGTGACCGGAACGACTATCGAGGATTTTGAAGGCGAGCAGATCATCTTCTCCAGAGATGGAAAGCTCGTCGATGAGGCCACCTCGACCAAGATCTCTGAGTTCTTATGGAGCACGATAGACGAAGCGTTTGAATATAGCAATGCGCACAAGGACTCCATTCCGCCCGATCGAAGTCTGCTTGACTTCTTTAAGGAGAGAGTCAGCAAAACGGGCTTAAGCCCTGAGGAAAAGGAGCTCCGTATAGAGACATGCAAGCTGTGGGGAGCGTACGTTGGTGACTCTATTGAGAGACAGAGTCTCAAATTCTTCTGTCTGGAAGAATGCATAGACGGAAGTACGCGCCACATTTTCTCTATGGCTGCTATCTGCTGACAATGCATCGCTAGACAACTTCTTCATCGCATCTACATACAAGAAGATCTTGGACCACGTTTCCGAAGCAGCCACCCAACATGCTGACATCCGCTTCAATCAGCCGATCATCAAAGTCGAAACGGACTTCCGAGAGAACTCGAGCGCCGCTCGCAGGGTGATATTGACAACCGCAGCCGGCGAGACTCACCAATTCGACGAAGTAGTAGTGACCTGCCCGCTCGGCTGGCTGAAACGCAACAAATCCGCCTTCCACCCGGCACTACCCCCTCGACACATCCAGGCCATTGACAGCATCTCCTACGGCCGACTCGAGAAGGTATACGTGACATTCCCACGAGCCTTCTGGCACGCAGACGCAGAAGCCGGCCTGAACGGCCCGGACCCCAAAGGCACCGCTCACCACAATCCCACCTTTGCGGTTTTCCACGACCCAATCTACGCCGAGCACCCCGAAGGCATCCTCTGGAACCAAGAGTGTATATCATTCGCCGGCCTCCCCGCCGATTGCGCCCACCCCACGCTCCTCTTCTACACCTACGGCCCCTGTGCCACATACATCGTCTCCAAGATCGCTAATCTCGACCCCGCCACGGACGAATACTATACCTTCCTCGACGGCTTCCTGCGCCCATTCTACTCCCGCCTGTATGGGTACTCGGCCTCCTCGGCCGACTGCAAACCCCTCGCCTTCGTCGCTACCCAGTGGCAGAATGACCCCTACGCGGGGAACGGCTCCTACTGCAATTTCCAGGTAGGTCTTGAGCAGGGCGACAAGGACATCGAGACGCTCCGGGGGAATATCGGCCCCGAGCGCGGGGTCTGGTTTGCGGGCGAGCACACGGCGCCCTTTGTAGCGCTAGGAACAAGTACGGGTGCGTACTGGAGTGGGGAGCGGGCGGCTGGGGAGATATGCCAGTTTCATGGGCTGGGTAGATTGGGGATTGGTGCTGGAAGGGACGATTCGCTTCCTTCGGCTGTGCCGAGGAAGGTTGCTTCGTCTGCTTGAGCTGCAGATGGTTGGATATTCGAGTTTTGGAACAATGTTGGGGACGCCATGCTGATTGACATCTCACGTATATAGTAGGTAGTGTGTTGCTGCACTTTTGTTCATACTTCTCCTTTTTAGTTTCGAGACGCACATAATATCGATCAATATTTGGATTTGAGCAAATATTTACAGAGAGACGTGTTGATGACTAGCATCCAAAAACACAAAGCCATCCCATACCTGCAACCCAGCAAAGAAAGATGCACTGCAAATAGGGGAATCAAAAGAACAGCTTAGCCACGATATCAAGAGAGCCAAAGAAAGACACGTTCAAAAAAGCCTGCTGAACACCTCGCATAATCAATCACAATAGCCTGCGCCCCCAATATGAAACGACTGAGCATCGCCGGACCAGCGTGATACCCGAATCGCACCTTCCCAGACACACGGACAAGCGAACAACCAAGGTACCGTACAGTAAACAGAACAAATGACAATCTGGGTATTCACAAACTCCTCGTATGAGCGTCAAAGAAAAAGCAATGTCCAGGATTTCGTATAGCGTCCCGAACCAAGCAATAGTATGTATGATACAGTGCGTAGGAATGGTTATGTGAGGATTTAGCCAAGTTGCAAGAGAAAAGCGATAGAAGAAGCAGGTGTATGACAGAGGTGTGGGTCAAAGTATGTCCTCAACACCGGCTTGTCCCAGATGTTTGAGGCTGCATTCAATCGCGACAAGCGAGTCGTTCAGACACCTCACACAGCATTCAACGGTCGAGTTTGCGAAGCGCACAACTGATGAGCATGAGCCCTCGAATTAATCTTCCCAGATCGTTTCCAGGTCAAGGTCTTGCCGACGTTCCGCTCCACAGACACTCCAGCGCTTCCTCTTGTCGATTCTCGCCCCGTAGACTCCTGAGCCGCCTCGCATAGAGCCAGAAGAACCCGCAGGACCCAAAGCATCAGATGTACCACGGCGCCTGCTCCCGTTGGCTGCCGCCTCCGCTTCGTCTGCCCTATCTGCGGCAGCCTTGAGCGCTGCAATTCGGTCGGCTTCGATGGCTGCATCCTCGGCATCAGGAATATCTGGGATGGTCTCGAGAGAGGATATGCTCGGACTGCGCGATCGGAGGCTCGTAGGAGTCGATGGTACTGACGACGTAGAGGAAGTCGAGTATCCCGGGAAGGCTTCGTTGAATTTTGAGCCGAGGACCACTGGTGACGAATGGATCGACGAGGGACTGCTAGTAGGCTGGGTGATCGAAGTCGCACTGGGGAAGTGGAGGGGTGATGATGGTCGTCGGCGCCCGACACGCAGGTTGTGTGATGCGACGGGAGATGTGGTGGAGGAATCCCCATGTGGTGGTGATTTCATGGTTGTGTCAAGCTCAGCGTGCTCCGAGATCGTTTCTGAAATATTCAGAGGTGCCATCCTGGCTTCGAGGGAATCCCTTGAAGGTATCTGCAAAGGTAGATACCGTCTTGGAGTATTATCATTCTGAATTGAAGGCGCTTCTCGACCATTGACGAAGATATATCGCCCTTTGGAGTCCAGCCCCGGGGACGAGTGAGCGCGCGTCATTGGAGGGACACCCGAGACCTCCGCCAACGACCGCGAGCGATAATGGGCGCGGGGGAAAGTCGAGCGACTCGGCGGAGCGACCGGAGGATCGGGGGTAAGAGACAAGGTTATCATGACGTTGTCCGACCGCTCTGATTTCCCAGTAGCCTCCTTAATCGCATTCGCGGAGCTTGCCGTGTTGACTGGTTCGACTTCGACCGTTCTTGCAGCGCGGGGCGGAAGAATGCGCCCCTCTGGGGAAGGACGGGAAGCTTCCATGTCTGTCTGAAAACGGAAATGTAACGGTGAAAATCTGTCTATCGAACAAGATCGACCTCATGCTTGACTGTGTACGGGAACCATGAGAGTGAATCGATCCTAGACGGTCCAGACTCTCGAGACCCAAAAAAGGAAAAGGATACGGAGTCTTGACGAAATCGATTATACCCCTGGCGATATTATTATCCTCCAACAAACCCATCCAACAGTTGGTTGTATCGACTACCAGAGGAGAAGGGAACCCCGTACGCGAGGGAGAAAAGGGGGATTGATGGGAGATGTAGAGTTGAGTGGTGAGATCGAAGAAGCTGGAAGAAGCTGAAGCAGAAGAAGAAGAGCAGCGAAACCGCGGCGTGATCAAGCGGTCGGAGAAGAGCGGACAGAAGGAGGAGGAAAGAGAGGGAAACCACCCACGGGACGACTCGTGATAGCAAAAGCAGTGACGATGTGCGAATCAAGAAGAATATGTAGCTTTTCAGGTGGAAAGAAATTTCTTTTCTCGTTGTCTCCTTGCGAATCATTCATGCCCAAAATTTCCCTCGTTTGTACTGGTCGCTTGAATATGGCCAATACGTGATCTGTGCTCCTCAGCCAGGGGCACGCTTCCTCGGAGAACAGCGACTGTAAATTCCTCCCTAGGCAGGGATTTCTCAGCCTGATAGGGCACATATGTCCTAGGATTGCATGCAATGATGATCAGGGGTTGACAGAAAATATACAATCGCGCTGGGACCAGTGAAGAGAAAGAGTCTGGCCGCGTCCAGCGTCTCTCTACCAACACCTTTGTCGACAGCTCTGGGCAAGAACAAACGACGAAATCTACTTTAATGAAGACAATTGCAACTTACCTTGACCAAAGAGTTGAATAACCCAAGCTGGTTTTAGATCCCTTACTCTGGACTTACCAAACGGGAAGCCTGTTGTAAAGAGCTACTAATGATCAACTACTGAGTAATGAGCACTCGCATACACCTCTAGCTGATGCAAGAAGTAAGTATTATGAATTATGACGTTAACCAACATCCTGAATATCAGAGTGATCACTCAATCTAACACCGTGACAACTATTACAAATGGGAGGACTATCATGAGAATGGAACGAGATGAGCGAGGCAGTGGGCTGCAACCTTGGATCCTTGATCAGGCATGTGTCTCTTTGCACATCTTCGACACACTCTTGCGGACGTACACTTCGCGTACAGGATCCCCTTCGTGGTCTTTAACTACCCATTCTCCAATGCCATACTCCGCTGGAGCTCGTTTGACACCACGTCCGCCTCCGCCAACGATTAGGTTGCCCGGTCGGTACTCGGGATTGGCCTTCATGCGGCGGATGGCTGAGACATGGATTTGAGCATCCTTGGGGATATCTCGGACCTCTCCACAGGGAAGTGGCCACCGGATCGGCTTCCAAGAGCCGTCGTCCTGCAGATCCATGCGACGGAATGGAAGATACTCCATGATCCGCCACGACAACACTGACGTGAACGGCAGCCCATTGCCGTAAGCCAAGCAATCATGCAGGAGTCCTTTCGTGCTGGACTCGTACAGCGCTTCTAAAAATCTGCGCTTGGATTTAGACACGTTCTGTTCGTCCTCCTTTCGGGCGAATCTCATGTGCTCATCATTATCTTCTCCATGGCTGGGATCTTGACACATATCCATATTCTTTTCCCAGTGGAGATGCTCTTGCAAAGGCGAAATCTTACCATCATACTCCTCGCAGCATTCGAACTGTTTGAGCTTGCGCGGGTCAAACTGAAGGCCCGCGCGCTGTGCCTCGTGTACCATCCATACCAGTGGTGCATGACTAAGAGGCCATTCTTCGCCTTCGCCAAGTTTCCAACCTCCGCCGATGTCCGCGTGTCCGCCGGGGAACCAGACTTCTTGAATGTCCTGATGCCTTTCATCTTCGTCATCTTCGTCGTACTCGCTAGGAGCCCGACTTCCTGCTTCCGGTACTTGAAGCGAAAGCATCGAGTTACCACTCTTCACCGATGCTAAATCTTCTGTAGACGGGTTCATCATAGGTACAGGCAATCCGAGTTTCTTTCTCTTCAACGGTGAGGATGAACGATAATGGTGTGCACTGCGAATGCTTCCGGCACGCGATCCATCTGCACTGCGGTAGACGGATTCCGTTTCCTCCTGATCCTTTCGGCCTGGGGCGTTTTGCGGCCCGTTCTCCACGTTCGCGTCGTCGTTCACGACAATGGATGGTAGACCATTCGGTTTCTCCGACTCAGGACCCTCATCATGACGGAAGTGATGCAGGTGTCGCTGCCAGCGATGAGGACCTCGTTTCTTCATCGACCATGGTTTGACCTCCGAGATGAGATCCTGTCGAAATTTGGCGCGTCGTTCGTCAATGCCTACGGCATGTCGTATAATCCTGGCTGAGCTGCGAGCAGTGTAGGGGAATTTGCTTCTCTGCATCCAGGCTGACTCGAACCTCGGCACGCTATTGACCGTGTCGAATAGACCCATGAATTTGATGCGACTGATAGGTCTGCTAAAAGTTTCACGGAAAGCCTTCATGAATCGGAACAATTTTTTCTTCTCCTCCTTTTCCTCTTCACTATCCCCGCGCCGACGCTGTTGCCATTTGGCAAAGGTCTTCCATGCGAACCTAGTCAGCTCTTCATTTCCCGCTTCGAGCAAGCCGATATAATCAAGCATCTCCGCCAGGAAACGCGCGATATAAGCACCACGACTGAAACCAATAAAATAAATCTCGTCGCCGGGGGCATAGTATCTCATGAGAAATTTATAACCACCCATGACATGTTGGTCGAAGGAGGAACCCACGGCGGAGTCCTTAGCTTTCAGGTAGGCCGACTTGATCCGATGGAATCGCCCATTACTGGAAAGGGAGTTCGACGTCACGTATGTGCCAATACCTGGCTGGTAGTAATGGTACTGGTGACTCTTACTGCGATCTAGCATCTTCGCCCAGGAACCCTCTGTAAGCACACGCATCGACAGACTACACACGGCCTGGGGGACGACTCACTCGGAAGATCTTGAGCACGTTGCTGTCTGATTCATCACCGCAAAATTTATTACCAGTACCATCAAAGCAGAGGACAAACTGCTTTGGGATGGGGGCCGGCCCCAGCGGTCCTGCATCCATGGTTTCGCGCAGGTATAACTGTTGATGCTCCCTGCGCGATCACTTGGCTGATTGTGAACTCAAAAGCAAGAAAAATCGGAATAAATGACAAATCAATCCCCGACTCGCGGAGGGCGAAGCTTATGTACAGTTTCTTAGTTCCAGAGACTCCCACATGCAACTGCAGGTAAGAGTTGCTTGGCTCGCACTTTATAGTGTGATACCAGTAGAGACCGGGATTGGGCTTTAACACCTTGACCAGATCCCAGAAGACAGCGAATAATCGTCAAATCTATGGTAACACAGTCCTCGACATCCAGGAAGGAAAAGAGTCAAGACGTAACTATCCCTGCAGGACAATGACATCCAGCCATCGCCCGGAGCTAAGCAACAAGGGGAAGCTCGTTCCTCCACGCGGATCAATATTTTGAACCAAATCGGTTCAGCCGCTGAGAAGCGAGACATGAGAGCGAACAGAACTCTTGTTGGTCAAAGCAGCAGTGGTTGGTGGGGCATTTCTTCATTGTCACAAGTGCAAGTGTTCAACTCACTCCCCGAGTATCTAGCTACGCGACAAGCGGCTTGGACACCGGCGGACACAAAACACAAAGCCCGTGTCGTATTAGAGCCTATCATACAGTCCGCAATGTGATTTTGCATGCATCCACCTGTCAGATTCGTTAAAGATAGCATGACCGGAAAGTATAATCGGAGTATCTTCCTCCGCAGAAGGCCGTGTCTCGCCCCTCTGTGACGCGGTTTGATTTTGATCGCCTGGAAAGATGGTGTACCTAGTAGTGTTGACGATCGAGGTGGCAGGTAATCTTGAACAGGATTCGGGCCATTAGAATGTCTGTGATATCAGTGATTACGCCAGAAGGTTTTTTCGATACTGAAAGGAAAAATCCGTGTGGCCGAGGCGCGTATCGAATGGATCGCTTTCCATCGAGATGCAGTAGATGATGACGATCTTTCCCCATTGATACCATCTGGGTGGAGATTACCGAGACCATGGCTGGCTGTCCCAGGCCTAGGAGCACTTTAGCCAGGCCCTGCACAAGAAGGACACTGGACAACGATAGTTTCATGCAGGAGTGCGGAAAAAAGGAAAATCCCTGCTGTGCAAAGCGAGGGACAAAGGGGTCAACCACGTCTAGCAATGGCCGGCTGATGATCCCGGATGAAATACTCCCTCTGCTGGAGGCAATCAAAGCATGCGAGCTGCTGTTTCCTACGCATGATTTTTATGGACTGCATTTTGAAGAATCCATCACTCATTAGTCATTGGGTAAGGGCTGAATATGTACGGAGTACTCTTGGTGTCTACTCAGTCTGATCGCAGGAGTACCTTATGAGTATGGCCCTTTCCGATGAGACAATGATCATGACAGCCTCAGAACCTTGGATCCTGAGGTGTCTCCGCCGAAGTGGGGGCCTGGCTGCCTGGGGCCGGCCACGAACCATTCGGGAGCTGCCGATCGTCTCTCCTCGATCCACCAAGACGGGCTGGGAGGGTTCGTCCAGCTCTGCTCGTATGGTCTCGGTCACTCGCATGATCGCATCACAAACGAACACTCTTCCAAAAGCAAGACTTTATTCTCTTGTTGTCTTGATGAGACATCTCATTGTAATCATCATGAAGTGTCCAATCAGTTTCTGATACATACACAGAAGTACATATATAGAATGTCAGGGTTTCTGTCCGTGTTTTGCCAAGTAAGCTGCTCTCCTTGCTGGACAAGCACGAACCTAGCCTACCCCTCCCCCTTGTCACCGAATTTTCTAAACGCACACCACGAACCGCGTATCTTACCAACTACGTATGTACCTGTACCAAGTACGGATATCTACCTACTGTATGTTGTTAACTTGTTGATCATCCACTAGCTTGTCTTCACGGCAGCTGAAGGAGCCACGCTTGGACAAAATAGTCGCTTTTATCATCCACTCTCGGGCTTCAGAATAATCCTCCATCAGTCGCACTGACACAATTGAATCCCGACAACATATTCCTTGAACTCATACTCATAACACCTTTTACATCTAACGGTGTCGCAAAGGACAGTGGTCGGCGAGAAATTTTCTATTTCCACAATCCCTTACTTTCCAAGATAGAAGACGGAGAGTGACAGGCACTACTATACCTGTGCTCTCTTAGTGGCTGAGAGTCATTACCAATTGAGTACGTAGATATTGGTATTGATGTCTGTCAGCTATCAATGTAGCTACAGGCCATCCTAGCCTGACGAGTGAAATGGTGGTGATCCCGTGTACGTGTTGCGAACGTGTGGGTACCGCAGACTAGTACTCACCCTAGTAGCTCAGTAGTTGTGACTAGTCTACTCATGGTCTGTCCCAAGTGAGATTTCTGGCTTCACTAAAGGTTTCGGGTGTGGGTACTCCATAGTCGATCCGATTTCGATTTCGCCTCCGATCACCACAGACAAGAAATCTGCTGGAACCTGTTTCCTGCATCACTTTCACATTATATTGCACAAAACTCACCATGACCCATCCCTAGATTCCAATGTCTCAACCTGCTTGATAGGTTTCGTCTTCCCGTACGTTCAGTAAAAGCTGGGAGGATGAGATTCACCCACATCATAATGTCAGTGCGCAATGGACAATGTAACCACACCCAGCACAGAGCGTGCGTGTGTCGAAATATAACCAAAACCTGGCTACCAATAATAATAATGATACTAAGGTAGTTAATTAGGTATTGTACTTCAAGCTTGCGCCGGACACAGCTCCCAGCGATGTGAAATCAATCCATTGGTAATGGACAGCCGAGGTGGAGCAGACAGCAGTGACCAGTGAGCAGAACCCTGTCTAAGTTCTGAGCTCCAGCTTTGACGATTATCATCTTGGCACCTAGTGCTTTTGTACTACGGCTGACAATCGCAATCATCTGAATAATAATCGAGAACATTGTGGCTGGCACCAGGAGCCGACGATCTGCTGGGTAAAAAAAGACTACAAGGAAAGTCGGTAATGCATGAACCTCGTTGATTGGCTGAGAGTCGTCTTTGCACTCTTGCTGTTTCGGTTTTCCCCCATGCTTTCCTCCGATTCCTCGTCATGCAGCTTCTCCATGGAATCTCCATCGTTATTATTAGGTATCATCAAGACCGACCTGTGGGATTTCGTCAAATATCAGCGTCTACACTCGGCCGCTTGCCTAATCCGGCTTCTTGAGCCTTGACATTCGTACCAAACACTACGTAACATTAGGTATGAATCATAGATTCGATGCAAATCATACCCATCTGTTCGAGGCCCGGCGGCAGGCTGTCAAAGAGATGCACTTACTCGTCAAGCTGAATTACATTCGTCACATTGGTTCACATCCCTAGGTTCTCTTTGGTACAAGGATCAAGGATATCCACTCTTTCTAGCAAAGATGTTCAGCAGCCATTTGCCTTCTGCTTGTCCCTGCGGGGTATGCGCTTGTGAGTATTACCATTTGATGGCCTAGTTTACTAGGTTCTGAATATGGCTTAGATGGCGGTACCACAAGAGGATCCCTCTGGAATTGTCACTGCTCCGAGTCCAATTGATGCTCTCAATTGCAATTAGTGGATCAAATCCACTCTGCTCGCTACGTTAATGCACCATATTGACTGCGTGGATCTGCGTTTAAATACATGGTTCCTTCCGAGCAGGTGGGTTGGAGCTCGGTTTCCCTGCTGCTGCTACTTTTCTATCTCCACGTCGCTCCCCCTGTTCGTTGTATTTTCTTCTTGCCTCCTTCGCTGTGTTTCACTTGATTCCATCCATACACAATTATCATAATGTTGCGGAGGTTCTCGTCGACCTTCAAGAAGAAGGGGGACCGCGAGTCCAAGCAGAATGGCACTGCAGCCGCCGTCGCCAACACCAACAACAACGACAACAACAAGCGTCACTCCAAAATCTCTGCGGCACGCAAGTCATCGTCTGATGACGACCGTAATGAGAAGAAGGGCGATTCCGTTTCTCCTTTTGAGAAATACGCATCCGTTCTCCATGCTTCACGATCTCCAATTCCCAACCAGACTGGGGATGGGGCCTACCTCGAGCACGAGCATACGACCAGCTTATTGCAGGATGCCAGGCATCTTGGCTTTAAGGATTTCAAGACCCTGAAGGAGGTCATCGAGAGCAAACTTCCGGGGGGGCAGCTGATAGATGACAAGACCATGTTAATGGAGCGCATCATCCAGGTAAGATGGCCCGCTTATGACACAGGTCGACTGGACCAAAATGCTGAAACTATACTCCTCGACTCGTAGCTGGTCAGCAGGCTTCCTCACAACTCAAAGCATCGCGAGGAGCTGACAAACGCCTTCCTTACGGAGTTGTGGGATTCGTTGCCTCACCCTCCTCTCTCGTGAGTTTGCGAACAACTTCCACACTTGGTGGCGTTTGCTAAGACATAATAATCAGATATATGGGAAATGATTACGCCTATCGCTCTGCCGATGGTTCCAACAATAACCCTACGCTCCCGTGGCTCGGAGCTGCGAACACCCCATATGCTCGGACGATCGCCCCATTGATCATTCAGCCTGGTGGATTGCCTGACCCTGGCTTAGTTTTTGACACGCTTTTCGCTCGTCAGACCTTCAAGCCGCATCCAAACAAGGTGTCCAGTGTTTTCTTTGACTGGGCATCTCTCATTATCCACGGTAAGATTCTCGAGACATCACGAGGTCGGTGAAAGATTCTAATGAGAAAGCAGATATCTTCCAGACCGACTACAAAAACCCCAACGTGAACAAGACTTCTGGTTATCTGGACCTCTCCATCTTGTATGGTGACGTTCAGGAGGAGCAGAACCTGATCCGGACGTTCAAGGACGGGAAGTTGAAGCCCGACAGCTTCTCCGAGCCCCGTCTTCAGGCGTTCCCGGCCACGTGCTGTGTCCTGATGGTTATGCTCAATAGGTACATCTCCAACACTGATGGTTTGGGAGCATTCGCTAATTTGATCCCTTGCTAGATTTCATAACTATGCCGTGGAGCAACTAGCGGCAATCAACGAAGATGGCCGCTTTACCAAGCCCGCGGATAATCTGTCGGAAGAAGAGGCTAAGAAGGCTTGGGCGAAGTACGATGAGGATCTCTTCCAGACAGGTAGACTGTACGCAAGCATTTTCTTCTAATCCTGTGTTATCCTGCGGTGCCCTAGACTAACGAATTATAGCATTACCTGCGGTCTTTACATCAACATCACTCTGTATGATTACCTGCGCACGATCGTGAACCTGAATAGAACCAATTCGACTTGGTGTCTTGTAAGTTGGCGCAGCTGGATACCATGCAAAGCAGAGAACTAAACGTGAACAGGATCCCCGGGCTCAAATGGAGGGAAGCCGCACTACGCCCTCCGGTTTGGGTAACCAATGCTCCGTGGAGTTCAACCTGGCATACCGCTGGCACTCGGCTATTAGCGCCACCGATGAGAAATGGACTGAAGACGTCTATGAGAGGCTGATGGGAAAGCCCGCCTCGGAAGTCTCGATGACAGAGCTTCTCATGGGTCTAGGCAAGTATCAGGCGGAACTACCCAAGGATCCATCCAAGCGCACGTTCGCCGATCTGGAACGTCAAGCCGATGGAAAATTCAAGGATGAGGACCTCGTCAATCTTTTGGTCAACGCTGTTGAGGATGTTGCTGGTGAGTCTGAGCTAACCCTCTGAATTAAAAATCAGTGACTAACAGGTGTTCTTTATGAAAGGCTCTTTCGGCGCACGTAACGTTCCAAAGGTTCTGAAGAACGTTGAAATTTTGGGCATCATCCAGAGCCGGAAGTGGAATGTGGGCTCACTCAATGAGTTCCGAAAGTTCTTCGGATTGAAGCCCTACGAGACTTTTGAAGAGATCAACTCAGACCCAGATGTTGCGGAGTCTCTTCGAAGTCTGTACGACCATCCTGACTTTGTGGAACTCTATCCCGGAATCGTGGCTGAGGAAGCAAAGCAGCCCATGGTCCCTGGTGTTGGCATTGCGCCCACCTACACTATTTCCCGGGCTGTTCTGTCTGACGCAGTGGCTCTTGTTCGTGGTGATCGTCACTACACGGTAAGTCATCCGGCTTCCTTGGGCTTTTCCTTGCAGCCGCCCTGACAGCTGTTCCAGATCGATTACAACCCGAGAAATCTCACCAACTGGGGTTATTCCGAGGTCAGATATGACCTCAGCATCAACCAGGGCTGTGTCTTCTACAAGCTCGCCACCAGAGCGTTCCCCAACTGGTTCAAGCCTGACTCTATCTACGCTCACTACCCCATGACAATCCCCAGTGAGAACCGAAAGATCATGAAGGATCTGGGCAGGGAGTCTCACTACTCCTGGGACCGTCCCCGGTACACTCCTCCTCGCGTCGACCTGGTGTCGTACTCTAACGCCAAGTTGGTCGCGGAGCAACAGAACCAGTTCCGTGCCGCCTGGGACGACACCGTCGAGTTTGTGTTCGGAAAGGCCAGCAAGGAGTTCAAGCTATCTCAGGATAGTGCCTTTATCCAGAAGCACGCTGACGTTATGAGCAAGCTGCTGAACAAAGAAGAGTGGCACCGGAGCGTTAAAGAATTTTATGAAGATATCACCACGAAACTTCTCGAAGACAAGACAAGGAGATTTGGTGGCCTCAATCAAGTGGATATTACGAAGGAGTGAGCTATTTTCTTCCAGTGCACGCTCAATAAGTCGCTAACTGAATTGGCAGTGTTGGGAATCTTGCTCCGGTGATCTTCGCCTCGAACGTCTTCTCCCTCCCTCTGAGAAGCAAGGAGAACTCCCGAGGCATTTACACGGAGCACGAAATGTTTAAAGTTCTAGCAACCTTGTATAACTGCCTCTACTTCGACATTGACAAGACCAAGTCCTACCCTCTGTACCACGCATCTCAGGCCGTTGGTGAGCCGCTGGGCAAAGCTCTCGAGGCCAGTGTCAAGGCGCTTGGTGGTAGCAGTCTACTCTCTGGCATTTTTGGCAGCTTCCGCGAGAACAACAATGCTCTCAAGGAGTACGGAGTGCACATGACGAAGCAGCTTCTGGAGAATGGTCTGGGCGCTCACGAGATCGCATGGGCGCAGATTCTGCCCACAGTCATTGCGATGGTTCCCGGCCAGGCCCAAGCAGTAAGTACATCCTCCAATGATTGCGTGCCTCGAGATAACTGACAAGTGATGGTTGATTTAGTTCACTCAAATCGTCGACTTTTACCTGTCGAAAGAAGGCAGCAAACATCTCCCAGAAATCCAACGCCTGGCCAAACAGGACACGAAGGAGTCGGACGAACAATTGCTGCGTTACTGCTTGGAGGCTGTGCGTCTCAACGATCATTCTGGATTGTACCGCCAGTCAGAGACTACCCTCGCCGTGACTGATGAGGCCGGCGAGGTCACTATTCAGCCTGGAGACAAGGTCTTTGTCAGCTTTGTACGTTCCACCCCCTACTGTTGTGCTATCCCGCCTCTTCTAACCCTCAGTTACTAGGCCAAAGCCAACCGCGATGCTAGCGTCTTCCCTGACCCAGAGGAAGTGCGTCTGGATAGACCTATGAATTCCTACATCAGCCCAAACCTAGGACCACACGGCTTCCTCAGCAAGGAAACCAGCCACATTGCATTGACCGCCATGCTGCGCACTGTCGGGCGTCTGAACAACCTCCGCGTCGCTCCTGGTGTTCAGGGACAGTTGAAGAAGATTCCTCAGCCCGGTGGCTACTCTGCTTACCTGAGGGAGGATCATGGCAGTTACTCTGTCTTCCCTACAAGTGAGTGTTCCCTTCTACTATTGACGCGGCGGTCTTGCTAATGTCTCTCCTCAGCTTTCCGTGTTCAGTACGATGCCTAAGCTTGCGATCGCCGCGCGATTCGCAGCTTTGTCTTGTAGCTGGTGTATAGATGGAGATGCCACGATTTAACACGATTGAGATACCTCTCGTTTGGATATTGTTGATTGAGTTATTGAGTTTGTCTAGTGTAGCATAGTAATAATATGTGCAATGCAAGTTATGCAACATAGTAATCGATGTTGATACCGCCTTGTATATCTGATAAGCTATCTTATCGCAAATCAGTCATTTTTCACCGCCAACCAAAGGTAGGTAACACTGTAAACATCCAACTTTCTTCCATCTTCACCGTCACCTACGGCGCGACCAACGACTCAATCCTCAGGCAAGTTGTCAAGCCCGCACGGGAAGCTGCCAAAATGCCTCCCAAACAAGCCAAGGGCGAGTACATCGAAACCGTACGCAACCCACCCCCTTAACCTTCAACCCTTCTAAACCAACTCTAACCGCAGCCGCTGGCTCCTAGGACACCGGCAACAAAATCTCCCGCCGCTCCCAAATCCACGGAACGCAGCACATCATCCTAGGCGGCAAGACCGTCATCCAAGCAGACGCCGTCATCCGCGGAGACCTGTACCGTTCCTCATCCTCATCCACATCCTCTGCCTCCGCCGACGGCAGCCGCCCCTCACAACCCTCGACCCCCTCCGTGGCCATCACAATAGGCAGGTACAGCTATATCTCACGACAGGCGGTGCTGAGGCCGCCGTCCCGCTTACACCGGGGGTTACACACGTTCTACCCGCTCAAGATCGGCGACCATGTGTTTGTCGGGGAGAGGGCGGTGGTGGAGGCGGCGACGGTGGGCAACCATGTGCATATTGGGCGGGAGGCGGTGGTGGGGAGCATGGCTATCCTGAAGGACTTTGCGTATGTGCTTGATGGGGCGGTGGTGCCGGCCGGCATGGTGGTGCCGAGCTGGTGTGTTGTCGGTGGGGCGCCGGCGAGGATTGTCGGCGAGGTCGGGGAGGGGTATGGGGTTGAGGGGGCGGAGGGGGGGATGGCGAGGGAGAGGTATAGAATGGTTGGGAGGTAGGGGTTTGAGATTGTCGCAATGGATGGCCATGGCTTTGGGATGGTGCTTTTTTCTTTCTTTTATTATACCCCTGATAGTTGTGTTCGCGTTTGCTATGTTCTTGAGGATTGTCTTCTAGTATGGAATTCGGTTGAGGGTAGATCTCAAGTATATGCACATAGGTTCATTAAACATCGCAGTCGTCTATTATCATACACAGGAGAAAGTCCAACTTCACAGGATCGTGGCTCAACCCATGTTCTCCACCTCAACTGCTCTGGTCAACCGGCTCTCGTCGGGCTCATACGGGAAGCCCGCCTCTTCCCGTGCCATATCGTTGATGAACCGGCCATTGGGCTTGACAGGTTCGTGCTTGGACATCTTGGACGCGAGGTAGAGCCAGTTCAACGCGTTGCCAACGGTGCTTACTTCATCACAGACGTTCTTGATCCCGTAACGGCTCATCTCCCCGTACAACTCTTCGTCCGTAAACAGCTTGAACAGGTAGTCGGCCACGGCGTCCGTGTCTCCAACATCAACCAGGAAACCGCTCTTGTTATTCTCGACCTGCAGAGGGATTCCGCCCGCCCTGGTCGCGATGATAGGCGTTCCCTTATGAACCGCCTCCGAGACCTTAACTTCGAATCCTTCCCGTGTAGACAATTGCAAAGCGACTTTGGCTTTGGACATAAGCGCGTTCAGTACCTGGTCCGATGGTCCCAGTCGCATAACAGAGATTTGTTCAATCAAGTAGGGGATATTATGCTCAATGTGAGACACAACGGCATCGTAAATGAGCGAACCATCAGGGTCATCGATCGAGCCGTGTCCGCAAATTAACAACTTCGGAGGCTTCTTGTCAGGCAGTGCAGCGGTCAGACGATTGTAGAATTTCTCGTAGGATTCCACAACATCAAAGATGCCCTTGGAGGGGTCAAAGCGGGCGATTTGGACAATGTACTCGTCTAGTCATTGTTAGTGGGAAAGGTTTCAACTTGCCCGAAGGCAAAGGCTGTCTCACCTTCAGGGACAGTTATCACAGGCATGCCCGAGTTTCTGCAGGCGGCATTGAAAACGCGACCGTAATATGCCATATCCCAGTCCCGCATGTTCTTATTCAGGCCATCTAGCCTACAATGAAGTGTCAGTCGTTTGCTCCTACTGGCAAATGGCTGAGAACTTACCAATCTGTAGACGCTCCCATATAACCCACCATCTCTTTAGGCACGTTCTTCGGTACGAATGAGCTCACCGGGTGAGAGATGAACAGGTCGGCCTGCTTGATCAGTTCCCACATTCGGCCCCATGCTTCCGCCTGAGGCGTGTCCGGTTTGGCAATCAGGTCGCTTCGGATCTGAATGTGGCTCCGGAAAACGACGGGTCTATCTGGCGCCATTTCCTTCGCGATGGGAATCAATGCTGGCATCTGAGGATCGTCCATGATAATTACATCTGCACCTCCCTCCGACGGAGGCCGCAACGGTCCTCCGGGGATCAACCAGTACCTTCGGGCGTTCTCCTGAATCCAGTCCGTGACCTTTGCCCAGTCCTCCTCTGTACACCGCTCTCCAGGGTTTGAGACACCTTGCAGAATGTTGTGGTTCGTCTTGGTAATACGGAAGACGCCCGGTCGTGGTTTCGGTACGTACCTTGGACACAGTGTCAGCTATTTCCGTAGGCGGTACGCTGGCTTCTAAGTTGACGATCACTCACCATTTAATATCAGTTCCTAATGAATAGGAGAATCTCACAAGAGCATGCCTCATGAGGGCGACACCTCCGCCTTGAGGGGTGGCACTGAAAAAGGCTATCCTGATATTCCTTTCCTTAAGGTCGGAAGCCCAATGCTCGACAGCATTCCATGTGCGAGGTCGGACCGTCGCCTTGAAATCGTCCAGATCGGTCAAGCGTACGTGGAAGGCCGTATCGACCTCGACCAAACCTAGGAAACCGACTTGCAGCAACGGGATGTTTTCGGGGCCAAACAGTCTGGGCGTCAAGTAAGTACGCTGACATGCAACGGCACACAGGCGGTGTTTCCCCTCACCTGACACATTTTCGTCCCATGGACTCTGCTTGTTCATCGAGCGATCTGGTCTCCCAGCCTGGATAGGTGGGAAGAGGCTGCTTGGACGGCTCATTCTCTTTCCGCTTCTCCTCTGGAAGCACCAGTGGAATGACGTCCAGCTCAGCCCATAGGCGCGAGCAGAGGCCCGGGCATGCCTCTGCGAGATGCTGTGGCATTGCCAATCCGATGAACTTTTCGAGGTGTTTCTCACTGAAATTCTGCAATTGGTGCACGACAAAGTCGCTGATCGCTCGAGAAAGAGGCTTATCGTCTTTTCGAGGGACTTTCTCTTGAATAAATTCGAGGAGGTACGTTGGGTCACGAATGGCCAGGGCGATGGTAGCATGTCCGTCGTCAGTAAATAATACCGAGAGGCCGGCATAGACGGTCTAATCGAAGTTAGAACTCCAGAATTGGCACCTGTCTGAATCAAACCATTCATACCCCAGAAGGAGGCGCAGCCCATGAGTTCTTCTTGAAATCGACAGAAAGACGACGCTGCTGGTGCACAGACGACCGCCGTCGGAAGGAGAGCATGTCGTCGCCAGTCATGGTGTTTACGCAGATAACGGGGTAATAGAGTATCTATAAAGAGCAGAGTATAAAATGGCATTAGCCCGTTGAACTAAAGGCGAAATCCTCATATATGCAGTGTAGAAGTGGCGTGTACGACCAATATTATATCCGTCTGTGTAACAGACCAGTTGGTGACCTCACCGGTTGCGACCATGACGTACCTATACCCTGAGGAACGACCGGATGCTGTTTTTAGCCGCAGTTTCCATGTGAGCTCGGGATATTCACGATAATCCATCCTTCATGTCAGCGCAATCATTGGAGAGACTTGATCCACGCGGTATATCTAGATCTTGATTGATCCCCGTCACCTGAACCTGGGTAGGTTCCGGGACCATGGCGCATCACCTACCTCCGCAAGAGGCGAAATCAGTCCATTAATCAGGGCGGAGGATCACACAATTTCTGTACGCTCATTGTCTGATCCATGGATGGTTCCGACGGAGGAGGTTCCTGACAGATGAACGGGCCATCTCAAAGGATCGTGGAATGCACATATAAATATTCGACGAACAATGAAGACCCCTCTCAGCTCTTATCAAAGCTCTGGGGTATGCTACTAACAGCTGAAACGCTTGAATTGCTTGGCTGACTCTGAGTCGTGGGGGAGAGCTGCTTAGTCATGGTCAACCCCTTTTATGGCCCCTCTCATCAGGTACCTATGGACTATGGTCCTATGGATACTTCGATACAGGGTCAACACGGGAAATTGGGTCCAGGAAAAAGGAGATTATTGTTCATTTGACTGTTAGTTAGGAGTTGACTAGCAACTTATCCAACTAGCTAGCTATCTAGCCTAGCCCTTAAGCAAAACAGCGCCGGTCTTTCTGTGGATCATCGGGTTTTTTTTGTCTCCAAAAGTCAATTTGACTCTTACAATCTTATTCTCACTCTCCTCGTTTTCTGCTGCCACGTTTGAAACAGCACAGGTGACCTGCTTTTTCCTACCCACCCCCCTCTCGGTACTCTTCAAGCAAGGTGCGCAATTCTCCATTTCCCAATACCCATGTGCCTGTCTTGTTTCCCTTGCGTCCATTCTGCAGATCTCATATTAACTTTTTGCATTGTGTTGACAGGGAAACCCAGTTGACTCGAAGACGCTCAGGGTTTCGACGGTTTCTACCTCTTTCCCCTCTCCTCTCCCCTCAATTGAAAGTGCAGGCTATCGCGTCGGATTGCGACCGAGTCAAGTCCGGCATTGAGACGTACAGTCAAGGAACCCTGTTATCAACTGCTCTGTTGGTCGCGACTCCGACAGTCGCCTTACTCTAGTCAACATGGGTGGACAAGTTTCGAAGATGCTGGGGAAGATATTCGGCACGAAGGAAATGCGGATTCTG